TTATATAACTTTATCTTATATCAGAAATTTATTTTCTGAATCTATAAAATTCTATATGGCATCAATTCAACTCTATTCTTTTATATACTGTTATACAAAGAACAACAAATCCGTTATTATATTATGCATTTTTCTCTTGAACCACGATAAATATTTATAATACCAGATAACAACGTCTTTACTGAAGAGAGAACTATTTAAATCTATATAGGGTATTTGCAACACAGTTATATAAATATATATAGGTCTTTATATAAGCTTTTATTTAAATAGACAGGTATACATATAATCTATTCTTGCATGTAGACGTAAACTTGCTAAAGCACTAAGCCTAAGTAGAGCGGAGTGATATACTTTGTCATGCAGAAATAGACCATTGATTTTGCGGAGATTTTTACTGACTTAACTTACCTTAGTATACTACTTTAAGAACCTTGCTACATAGATTAAGTGATTCAATTAGTTAAGGATAGAATAATAAGCGCATTTTAATACCTTCAGGCGCCAAGATAAGCTGTTTTATTTTAGTGCTATTATCCAAGGAGGTTTACTAGAAAGAGTTTAATCTAAAATTAAAGACAGTGGCTTAATTATCTTATCTAGTCTATTTTCTTTGCTGAAAAATTGTTTTGAATAAGGTAAAGAGCATCCTTCAGAAATAAAATCTGCAATGGGATATTCTGTGTTCTGATTGAGGAAAGAAAGACAAACTCTCGTCGATAATCACCATCACCAAAGTAAATGATGACTTCGATCGGTATCACTACAAAGTTGAATTGAAGAGAAAAAGAGCAAGATGGTAAAAAAAAATTTGCAAACACATAATTGGGTGGTAATGAGTGCATATAATTCAAAGCAGTGACTAGTCAATGCAAAGTAGATTATAGCCAAGTAAGTAAGCTGTCAATACTCTACGTTCACCAATAGAATTTTAGATTTTTTAACACAATAGAAACTCAATAGCTTTATTTGATCAGGTTAAAAACTCTGATATGATTTGAAAATAAAATCTTACGCTTTGTAATCCTGCAACCAATTTTATGAAAAAGAAGACAATGATAAGGATAAATAGAAGATAAACGAAGTGATAAAAAGAAAGAAAAGAAACTAACAAAAGACATTTGACTCTATTAAAGCAGCAATACGAAACAATTTGTAAATAAAGACAACAAATAAAATAAAGGCTTTATTATTTAGACGAGAGCTTCTTTTTTAGAATAGCTAATCATATTCTCAGATTAACTTTTATCAACGATTTAAGGTACATTGAACTGCCAATCAAAATTATAGACTATCTTGAATCATAAATAAAAGTCAATAACAAACCCTGAAATAATACCCAAAATAGGAAACAATATTCTACACTTTTGACAAGATAGCGGCAAGATGCAATTATGCATAGGAATTACCATGGTTCTGAGTATTCCACTTTGTCTTACCAATTTTCTACATGTTCACGCATATTTACAATAAAGTATTCGCCTTTTCCTTGATGCGTTGAAATAAAAATCATAAAAGAAAGTTTTATTCTACATCCATATAAAATATCTACCCCAATATATTTGTCTATAGATCCATATAGTTTATCTAAATGAATATAAAGTTTTTTTTTTATATTATTGATGATATATGCTTTTAGATAGCTATTTATAAAAAATATGTTTTATCTGATATAATATACATGTTTCCGACATTATAACCACTATATGAATTTATAAAACCCAGTTATAGATTAATATATCGGTTATATTTTAATAAAACTTATATAGATTTATATAACTTTTATTTTCTGATATCATAAGCTGACTGTAATTTCAAAGAATTTTTGGCCACTGTATTAGCGCAACTCAAAATCTTTGTTGAATGCTCTCGATCATCAACTTTTTGACTAGGTTCGCCATTGTAGCAGAGCAATTACGACAGCCATAGCCACTATAATAGCGCCCATAGCAGCCATAATAGCGCCCATAGTAACCATGGTAATGATACACAACAGCGTCAGCGATTGCATTTTTCTTCCATCACTTACGCTGTAGCGATAATTCTACAAAAAAGGTAGCTAGAGCGATGAAAAAAATCATGAAAAGGCTCGTACATCTCAGGCCTTTGCGGTTAGTGTAAGGGACTTACAAAAAAAAAGACATTTTCAAAAATAATAAAAATATTGGCAGTTATGCCGAAATTACAAGTATGCCATTTGTGTACTCAAAAAGATATTTCTTGAGAAATAATAAAAACCACTACTTTAAAATAAATCAAAAATATTTTCTGCAATGACAAAAAAATAAAAAAAAGCAGAAAATTAGAAATTTTCTGCTTGAAATTTAAAAAAAAGCTTGTTTTTCAATCTTCCTATTCTAAAATAAAAAACGAATCTACCAACCAGTAATCTCTTCTTTAAACTAAAACAATGAAATTATTATCTGGTAGACTTGTTTATTTATTCAAAACGGAGAAATTGAAAAACAGGCTTTTTTATTGGTTTAAAACAAAAATTTTGACTTTTCTGCTTTTTTTTTTTTATTTTTTCTTCATTACAAAAATTTTTTTTGTTAATTTTAAAGTAATGGTTTTCGTTTTTCTAAAAAAATATATATATATATACATATATATATTTGAATATACAAATGGCATACTTGCATGTCGGCATAATTATCGTCGGTGTTTTAAATTACTAAATAATCTGAAGTTGATATTTTTTTACGCTATCTAAGTCCATTACATTCATTGAAGAGTTCTGAAGCTTAAGAGCTTCGCTATAAGTCTTTGATAGCTTTAGAAATTCTATGCTACTGTAAAAAAAAAGAAAGTAATGCAAAATCTACCTGTCCATGCACCTTTTAAAGAGAATCGACAACTGAAACACCGACTTCTCCCTGTACAAGACATCCATTGCTTATCATGTCTAAAATTCCTCTCTTAGCCCTTAAAAGTGTCATTTGCTGTAAAAAATATCACTTACAAACATTTTTTTATCGATAAATATAAGAACGAGTGCAAACTTACTAGTCAACATCTACCGGAAAGAGCCTCTTTTCTACCCTTCACAGTGCGCAATGAAATTTGAATGCAGATTTGAAGGCAATGCTCAAATTGAACCGCCTTTTTCATCTTGGTAAACTCGCTTTCTTTTCATCAAAAGCACCTAGAGATGATCTCAGCTTACATTGATTGGATCAGACCTACAATGGGGTCAATCTGACATTCAGAGATTTTTCAATGAACTTTTTTTTTTTCATCTTCGCGAGCCTCTCATGAACCCCCCCCCAGAGTCAAAAAATAAAATTTACCCAATTACCAAATCAACGGTACCGCTTGATCACTGAACTCTAAGGGAGATGTCTAAAAAGAAAGAGAGACCATTCTAGTAGTCTGGCTGCCGAGCAATGGCGCATCAAAGAATAGTGCATTTAAGCCCTGCTTTAAGCATTTTTACTCTAGATGTCATATAAAAAGTGTTGATCACGAACTTATAAAAGACACTGCATGCTATCAAGAGCGCTAAAATCTATACAAAAATAAAACTATAGACACCTTATAATGTACATGTGGGGTAAATGAACATAGGACATACAGAGTGGCTGTTAGACGGGATTTAAAATATAGCACCTTGAATTCTTCATCCGACCGCATAAAAAATCAAGCTTTTCAGGAGACTGTGTACCATTTCTTCTTTCGCTGCCCCCAAAAATTTCCGTTCTGGGATGCCTTGATCAGGGAATTTCTATGGCCAGGCACCTCTCTGGATCTAGTCTCTGATGCACTTGCATCTTTCAATTTTTCTCGGATTCGGTCTCAAACCAGTTGTCCTCTTTCAGTAGCCATGGTAACCTTGATCGGTCTCTCTGAAATCTGGAAGGCCCATTGGACCCATACCATGCAGAACCAACCAATCCATTATCTCTCTGTTCTTCATAGCACTCGCTATCAAATTATGCGTATAGCTGCTGAAAATGACCTTTCATCTTGAGAGGTCTTTTCTCGCAGTAGCTGCTCTTTTTTTTTTCTTGATTTCTTTGTTTTTTCTTGATTTCTTTGTTTTTTGAAATTGTAGTACCCTTCTTGTTTCTTTTAACCCTCTTATAATAAATAATTGTCGAGCACCTCTTTTAGTGGGTCCCTCTCGAGACCACTAATACGTGCGGCAAATAAAATCATTAAAAAAAATCAAGCTTTTGCTTAGAACTGCATAAAGACGCAGTTATTCAGCTTTGGTACAGTGAACAAAGTTGTAGATCTTGAATTTCAGTTTGTTTAATGTAAGAAACGCACCAACTCTTCTAGCAAGATTCTGAGAGAATGCGCCAAAGTGTCCTTCAGGTTTCTCGCTCCTATCGTATTATTTCGTAGTACAATTGGCAAGCAAACACATTCATCAAGAACTAGAGATTTTGACGCACATTTTAGGTATTTAGGCTTGCTGATAGCTCTATTTTTTGTCTTGTAGCGTAAAAAAAAAAATCAAATGTTATCAAACGAGCTTTTTTCATGAGTAGCACCCTTGGTTTTGTGACATTTTTGGCCGAGTTTTACAAGTCGCCTTTTCTTTTGGCTCAAATCGACTCCAAAGACATCGTATATGTTAATGAACACGGTCTTTGAGCATCTCGAGCATGTATGTCTGTATACACTGGCTTTGTAGTGTCTTTGTTTGATCGCACAGCCTTGTGTATTTTGTCTGTTCTTTTGAAGGTCCTGATCTCATCATCAAATCAATGCATCAAAAAAATTTGCATTTCTTTTTTTGATGGAGAAGGTGCATCAATCTTAAAAACTAGATTGTTCTCTGCATGGTTAAATGGAATCGATGATGCTTCGCGGTTAAAAGGAACCAACTCATCACATGTAGAGAAACATCCTCTGTTGTTGCACCATGTCTCTTGGGCTATTTCTTTAGCTAGTATTTGTCATTTAAAAAGGTTTATTAACATTGTTAGAAATTCATATCACGATACTGAAACATTGATCTTCAATGTAAAATTTTTAGTGTTTTAATTTTGCATGAATAGCTTTTATTTGATCATCTCTCAAACTAGTATCTGTCTTTATCACTTTTTTTTTGTTAACCTAATACATGAGTTCCCAAGACATCGTTACCCATTATATTATCAACTGGAAAAGATAAACTAAAAACTTTATATTAAAAAAAGGGGGAGGAAATACTACTAAACCTTTTTACAAATTGATCATTATTTTGTCATTTTTGACAATGTCGGCATTGAGTACATATAAAGGAGGCCTAATTTTTTTTTTTTTATTAGGAAACTAACGTGACGTCGAATGGTCAACACAGCATATCATTTAATACAACATAAAAAAAGTTACACAGTAAGTGACACCATGCAACAAAAAGGTTTGTATAACCTTCATCATTCAAAAATAAAATTCTTTTACCAAGCCATCATGAATGATGTCAAGAATAATAATCTTGTACGCCTCTACAGCAAAAAAGCAAAGAAGAATGAAATAGTTATATAGTCAATATAAAAGATAATTAAGAAAAAGAGTAATGTCGATCACTTTTTTTTTTCTGTAAATTATGTTCATTTGATCTTTACTTTCTTTTTTTTCTATGTATCACCACCATACATAAAGTACAAAAATTTTTTAAATCTTTTGTTTCTTCTTCTTTTATTTCTTTCTAAATATTGAATGAAGTTTGCTCAGGAATTAGAACAAAGCGTATTTCCGCCCTGGAGATTATCTTATGTTGCCTATGACATTTTGAAACAAGAATTAAAATCAAGACAGCTCGATCATGGCTGGACAAATAGAGACGAGATAGATTTCATTGATCTTTTGGATAATGAACTCAGTAAAGTATACGACTTTGTCAATGCCAAGCTATCAGAAATTGATGCGCGTATCCTTTATTGTGAAAGAACTATCCAAACACTTCAAAAGAATCCAATCATGAATTCAAATGCAAACTACCGCATCATGGATGAAGCATTGACTGACATCTTATTTGATGTCAATGATCTCTCGAAATTCACGCGTATCAACTATACAGCGGTTCAAAAGATCCTTAAAAAGCACGATCGCTGGACAGGTCTGAACCTTAAACAAGACTATGTGATTAAATTAAGAGAGAAACCATTGGATAAGCAGCGTTTTGATGTGGCTATTGTTTATATCTCTGCTCTTCATGACATCTGTCGTAACCGCGGAAAACAATCGCCTGGCAACAGTGCAGCAGGAGGAGACCAAAACGCATTTGAACGCGCCACAGCCAAGTACTGGATTCATCCCGATAATGTTACCGAGGTAAAAGCGATGATCATGCTTCATTTGCCCGTACTGGTTTTCAACAAGGACAAGAAATACGAGGCATCGGACTCAGCTGTTTCAAGCGTGTATATAGATAACCCTAGCCTGGATCTTTATACTGGCCGACTTCAAAGAGATGAAATGGCTGAAGCTATCCGTTTTCGTTGGTAAACTCTGTTTTTGTTTGGATATTTATAGCTGAATTTTTTGTCCTTTAGGTATGGTCCTTGTTACTCAAAAAACGTATTTGTTGAGCGAAAAACACATCATGCAGCTTGGTTAGATGGCGCATCTGTCAAGGACAGGTTCCATATCCAAGAAGACCATGTCGACACATTTGTGTCCGGCCAATACACAGCCGAACAGATTGTCAAGCAACTCCGAGAACAAGGTGTACATGAAACCATCATTCGAGATACGGAATTTATCAGTACGGGCGTTCAGACTTCGATTCAAGAAAAGAAATTAGAACCTATGCTTCGTGTGTTTTATCATCGTACAGCCTTTCAATTGCCAGATTCGCAAAAACTAAGGATTTCTTTGGACACGGATTTAACATTTATTCGTGAAGATCATTTGGACGGCAAAAAGCGTCGAGAAAACAACCATTGGAGACGCACAGATGTAGGTATCGATAGTCCCTTTTCTTATCTTCCTGAAGAAGACGTGTTACGCTTCCCTTATGCTGTGCTGGAAACAAAGCTTCAGACACATTTGGGTCAAGCATCTCCAGCTTGGTTAACTTCATTGGTTGAAAGTCATTTGGTCCATGAAGTGCCTCGGTTCTCAAAGTATCTACATGGGGCAAGTCATTTCTATCGTGATCATTTGGCTTTGCTTCCTTGGTGGTTATCTGAAATGAAAGTGGATATTCGCAAACCGCGTGCTGAAAATAGCGGCTTGACTCGTTCACGAAGCTTTAAGCCTTTGATTGATGGTCAGTATCGTCGAGCAATGATTGAAGAAAAAGAACGTATCAACACAGAGGCTGTGATAAAAGAAGGTGAGCTAACAGCAGACACATTAACTGCCACATCAAGTACAGAACAACTCAAAAGACAATCTATTTCGCTCGATGAAAAGACAGCCGCTGCTTTAAAACCTATCAACAAAGCAGAGGAATGTACACTGATCGACATTGACACTAGTTCCAAATCAAGTATACCACAGCCTGTGACTCGAGAAAGTGTTCCTCAAGTGTATTCTGTGTCCAACGATAATACCAGTCATACTGAAAGTCCGTTGATGCCAACGAACGATAAAAAAAAACTAGGCGAGCCCGTGTTTGATCTAGAAAAGGGTGTCAAAAAGCAAAAAGTGAAAGGAAAAGATCCCAAAACGTTCTTTGCAAATGAGCGTACATTTCTCTCTTGGCTGCAGTTCTGTGCTCTATTGTTGACAGTAGCATTGAACTTGCTTAATTTTGGTGATAATGTATCTCGTATTGTAGGTGGTGTATTTATTGGTTTAGCTGGCGGTGTAGCTATCTATGCCTTGTATAGATTTGAAAAGAGATCATGGTAAGTGTGTGTATATACTATATTATTTTGTTACTCAGACAATACATAGGATGATCAATCATCGCTCCCAGGGTCGATATGATGATATTTGGGGTCCTGCTGTTCTTTGTACACTATTAGTGGCTGCTATTATTATCAACTTTTACTTGCGTTTTCACAACTAACATTGTAACAAATATTCATTCCATATTCCATTGTATAATAACATCATCGCTTCTTCAAATGAATTAGTTCAGTGTTACCATGTTTATTTATGCTATTTTTCTTTTTTCTTTTTTTTTTTTTTTTTTTATTTTCTCAAGCATAAGATGCCACTTCGTACGAAACGAATTCATTATAGATCCCTTCATCCTAAACATAAAACCAGAGAAAGTAATCAACATGATATCACACTCATTCAACGAAAACAGCCTACTGAAAGAGTCGCGTCTATCTTGGGTCATTGCTTGGGTAGCTATCTATTTTTTTTTCTTTTAAATTTTTTCTTCTAACTGTTGCTTTAGATGTGTTAATGACAGCTTTGTTCATGTTGAAACCAGTTTTCTCAGTTTTTGCAGCTATTACTATTCTCATTGGCTTATTGAGTTTTGCACACAACAAGTGTCATGAATTTGTTCTTGATACAGTATGTCCCATGAAGCTCATTAGTCATTACATACCAGCATGCCAACATCACAACGCTCCTGTGCCTGATTTTTCACATTTTGTGAAACTACAAGAATCGCTTTATGACGGTATGTTACAGTCAAGTGCGGATTCTATCTCTGCTATTGAGCTTAAGCAAGTCGAACTCGCTACACGCGACCTTCAGACCATGATCAAATATTCCAATCTACAAAGCCACCAATTGTTGGATGATAAACTAGGTGATTATATAGCACGATCGCGTCGGTTTGGCCGAGATATTCAAAGTCTACAGGCGCAAACAAAAGGGGTGATTGATAACTTGATTACTTATAACACCTATACCTTAAGAAGATTGTCTGAATTCAACTCTAAAAAGTCTAGCCGACAGGATCTACGAGCACTTTATGAATATGCTATGTCATTGGTCGAAAAAGAAGCCAAGCGACTGATACTGACGATTGAAAAAGCCCAAGGATCACTGGATAGGTTGGAAGAAGATTTGTATGCTGTGCATGAAATTTCTGTTCAAGAACAAGTATATCAAAAGAAAGAAATGCCTGATGTGTTTGGGGATTTGATCAATATGATTTCGGGTCAAGGCATGCGTCGACCTCTTGTAGAAGAAAATTTAGCCCTGTTGGCTAAATTCGATTCTCAACGAAGTAAAGCTTCTCAACGACTGATGGTGATGCTGGATCGTATGGAAGCATTTCAAATGGATCTTGAGGAATTGCGCTCACAAGTAGTGGCTCCTATTCTTATTCCTGACACGATTCCTTTAGAGATGCATATTGAGAATATCGGAAAGGCCATTGAGCGACTTAAAAATGGTAAAGTGATTGATTGGAATGATACACAAAAGCATCAAACCATTGAAGATGCCCCAGAATAATAATGATAATGATGATAATAATAATAATAATAAAGAGCTGTTTATATGATCAATGGTAGGAGTTTTCAATCAGATGAGATGCTTCGTATCTTCGTTGATATCGAGCCACCATCTCATTAATCAAACATATTGAATCGCTGCCTAATTCATAGTAATGATCTGTCTTTTTGGGATTAAACATGCTTGTATGGGCTCGCACTTCATTATCTGCAGGTGATAAAACAGGCACAAACAAATACAACAAGTCTTCAGGAGGCAAATTGATAAATGTTCTCGTTTGACCTGGTATGTTTAACTGGACATAAAAGCATTTGAAATACATGTCTGGAATCTCTAATAGTTTTCGCACTCTAATCAACCATCAGCTTCTCTCTTCTTTTGTGTGTGTGTTTGTAGTTTTATATATCCTTTACCTTTGATCACATCCATTCATATCAGCTAAATCGCTCACAAAAGTCAATTGATCATAAGCATCTGTGATGGTCTCTTGGATTTGGTCACGCGCTAGATAAGCAGCGGCACCCAAGGCAGCAGCACCTACTACACCCGCCAACATGCCCCATTTCTTACCACTCGTGTTTGCTTTCGATCCTGCTGTGATGGCTCTTGTGGCAGTGGCTGCTGTAACCGTTGCTGCTCCTGTGTTCCATAAGGTGTTGAGTCCTCTGACTTGATCGACGCCTGATCTAGCTCTATTAGCTACAAAATTGCGGCTGATCGAATAAAAAGGTGTATCATACGCAAGCATGCCAATGATATGGGCGCCTAATATGTTGGCTTGGTCTTGGTTGGCATGAAATCTTAGTATCGTTTCCGCAGCTAACAAAGTCAGTTAAGAACCAACAGAAAACAAACACACACACACACACTTACCAACAATACCACCCATGGAGTGACCCAACAAGACAATCATGATGTTGCCTGTACTGTTTAGTTTTTGCATGTGTTGATGGATCGTTGACACTTGTTGGCATAACCAATTGGAAAAGTTCTCAACAGCTACACTTAGTTCACTGAGTATTGTAGTAAGTATCAGCAACATACATAGATAATTTTACCCTGCTGTTTTATAAGAAGGATAGATAACAGCTTCCACGTCTGCTTTGACTGTATTAGTAAGAATGGTTTGAAGCCGATTAGGGAAATCCTAATAAACAAAGGTGAGTCTTTGTCTCGGTATTTTCGTTGCCATAGTTACTTTGAAACTCGTATCTGTGCCTCGAAATCCATGCACAAATACAAGTAAAAGTCTATCTAAATTATCTGTTTGTTTATTTGCCATAAGAAAAAAAACAATAAAAAATAAAAAATAGAAAGTCAGGTACAATGCGTTTATTATGAAACAACACAACCCCCTTTTTCTTCTGTAGGAGGTTTGTTGGCTTTTTCAATTTGAGCAATAAGCAAATCAAAGATTTTAGCTATACAGGCAACATAAGTTTTGTTATTTGTTTCTTTGACAACTTACACACATTTTCATCATGCTTAGCTGATGTTTCAATGGTAGGACAATGCCATTGTTGAGCCAATTCTTTTCCTTCTTCTACTGTCACTTGTCGCTGAATATTTAAATCAGACTTGTTACCCACAATCACACAAGGCACACTTTCGAGTCCTGTAAAATCAAGGATTTTATCTCGAATGATCTTGATCATATCAAAACTAGATCGAGAAGCAATTGAATACACAAGCACATATCCATTCATACTGGTGGCATGATGAGAAGAGAGAATGGAATATTCATCTTGACCTGCTGTATCCATGATTTCGACACTATATTCTAATACTTGTTAATCCTCCTATATTTGCTCACATTCCATTTTCTTCTCTTTTTTTTTTTACCATTGCCTCGGTATTTAATTGTCTTTGTAAACGTGTTTTCAATGGTAGGATAATAACTATCTACAAAATGGTTCTCACAAAACTGAATCACAAGAGATGATTTTCCTATTTGAGTTAGTCACTCTAGTCGCAGATATATTCATTTTCTGTTTATTTTTACCTACTGCACGAGCACCGAGTACTGCTATTCTTCTTGACTTGGGAGGGTTTGTACTTGACATAAGAAAGAAAGAAAAAAAAAAGAGAGAGAGAGAGAGAGAGAAAAGCGAAAATAAAATAAAATAAAATAAAAAATAGTCCCAATTTTTTATTTATTTATTTATTTACAACGTCATCTGTCGTATCTCTTTCTTTTTTGCCTCTCTTTTTCTCTTTTTTTTTTTTTTCTCTCCTCTGTCGCTTTCTTTCTCTCCAGTGTTTCAAGGGGGCGGAGGACTTTTTTTTTGGTATCGGGAAAGCTCCGAACAAATAAGAGTCTATTTTTCATGCCAATCCACTTGTATAACCTGAATTAATTAAGACCTAAAAAGAGACATATTTAGCATGTTGATAACCTTAGTCGCACTGACCTTTTAATTCATGTACTGCGCTTCGCGAGGCAAAAAAGTAATACTCGGTACATGGAACCCACTCTTTTTTTTTTTTGGTTTTTTCTGGAGTACAAAATATAGAGTAACATAAGCTTTTTTGACCTTAGAATAGTTTGGAAAAGGAACATGTGACGGTCTCAGACAGATATATAAATCTACTTTTTCGGTATTTTTTATATCTTTATCCAACATGTCTGTTGATCCTTTTCGTTTCCGTGTTTGTCCAGAGATCGAGTTTACTGAAACTCAACTTGAAGTATTATATGCTATCCTCGATACTTACATTGCCCCTTTACCTCAAGCACAGGAGGACGCACTTGTCAAACAACTCGCATCTACACATACCGAAGATCAAGTCCGTGAATTCTGTCAATACTCAAGCACGTCACTCCAAACCCTGGACGCCATCAAGAACTTCGTGAACCATGTGATCTTGCCCGAGAAACGTCAAGAATTACTTCTGCTGCTCTCTGTCTTGTCTTCAAAAGCAGGTACTTTTGCATTGACAGGCTATCTGACTGAATTTAAACAACTCTCGGCCCAAGACCGTGAAAAAGTCTTGTTGGGTTGGAAGCACTCAAGTATTGCCAAGTTTCGTATGATCTATAAGACATTTCATGCGTTGGCTTGTTTGCCTGCGTATGCGACTCATACCAAGGCATTGGCTGGGGCCATGAAATATGTTGATCTGGTTCGAGATCAAGTGTATGAGAATGTGCCACAAAGACTGACTATGATGTCGGCGGATGAAATCGAGGATGATATGGAATTTGATGTGATTGTGATTGGTAGTGGTGCTGGTGGAGGTAAGACAAACGCATTTATATCTCATCTAACATGCTATGAAGGTGTGGTGGCCAGTCAGTTAGCTAAAGCAGGCAAATCTGTCTTGGTGATTGAAAAAGGTGCTTATCATCATGAAAATGACTTTATTGTGGATGAAGCCAAAGCATTTGAAAATCTTTATGAGCATGGTGGTTTCACACCTAGTTTTGAAGGTACCATTTCTAGCTTGGCTGGAAGTGTATTTGGTGGTGGTACTACAGTCAATTGGAGTGCATCTCTCAAGGTAAAAAAAAAAAGAGGGGGATCATGACATATCATGCAAAGACTCATATCATGTTAGCTTCAACACTTTGTTCGAGAAGAATGGGCTAAACAAGGCTTAACTTACTTTTTGTCTCCCAAGGTAGGTTAGATATTTAAATTTTGATTGTAACACAGGCTTTAGTTTACAGAAGACTTGGATCGTGTGTTCGATAGAATTGGGGCTAGTACAGCAGGTATTCAGCACAATGGACCTAATCAAATCTTGGTGGATGGTTGCAAGTAAAGTCATACAACTATCTTTTATAAAACTCACACTCTGAATATAGAGTGCTCGGTTATCCTGTGGCTGACATTCCTCAAAACACAGGCGGTAAACCCCACGCATGTGAATTTTGCTTTATGGGTTGTCGTGCAGGTATCAAGAACAGCACCATGAACACTTGGCTCCGCGATGCGTATGAACACAAGGCGAAATTCATGGAACGCACCAAAGTCTCTCGTGTCTTGATCGAAAACGACAAGGCGGTCGGTGTAGAATGCTTGGTGCACTACGACCGTCGTATCCGCATCAAGGCTGACCAGGTCGTTGTCTCGGGTGGATCGCTTCAATCGCCTGGTATTTTGTTACGTTCGGGCCTAAAGAACAAACACATTGGTCGTCACTTGCATTTACACCCTTGTGTGATCACCATGGGGTACTTTGAAAAGCCTGTGCGTGCTTTCCAAGGGTCGATTATGACAGCTGTCAGTACAATTGCTGAAAACGTCGATGGCGATGGCTATGGTGTCAAGATTGAAGTGCCTAGTTTACATCCCGGTGCATACTCTGCTGTCATGCAATGGCGCGGTGCAGCCGCTCATAAAGAAGCCATGATGCGGTATGCACATATGGCTCCCCTGTTGATCTTGGCCCGTGATAAAGACTCGGCTGGTTCTGTGCGTTATGACGATAAGGAGAATGCTGCTGTAGATTATGTGTTGTCAAAGCATGATCGTCGGTCCTTGCTGGCAGGTATTGAACGATCGCTCAACATTTTGGTGGCTGCAGGTGCGCGTGAGGTCTATACAGGCCAATTTGGCGTTGAACCCTTCAAGTTTCTTCCTGATGAAGTCTCCCGGATTGATAATGAACGCTTTTTGGCCTGGAAACAGACGGTGCTCAAGTATGGATTCCCTCATGAAGGTGCTTCTGTGTTTGGTGCACATCAAATGGGTTCAAACCGTATGGGTGTATCGCCTAAATCTTCTGTGGTTAAACCTACAGGTGAGACATGGGAAGTCAAAGATCTCTATGTGGCCGATGCTTCTGTCTTCCCTACAGCTTCTGGTGTCAATCCTATGGTGACAACAGAGACCATTGCTTTACATATCGCTGATTGTATGATTGAAAAGAGCGGAACACACGCTAAGCTTTAAATAAACAGTTTATTAAGGTTTTGTGTTTTCGTCCTTCTTTTTTTTTAACTCTGAAGCAGAAGGTGGAATATAAGCACTTCGATGACGACCCAACTTGGGAGGAATCTTCCAAAAGTATTGTTTGTCTTTTAGAGTACATTTACGAGCACTGCGTCCAACTTGTGTATAAGTAGCACGACGCCATTCTACAGGATCAAGTTCGCTGTTGTAATAATATAGATTTTCTTTAGGAGAACCGTCGGCTGTCTTGCCTTTGCGTTCAATTTCACCAAAGAAGGGTCTTTCTTTTAGTACTTTGCGAATACGCTCTATCCAGACTTGGCGAGGTTGTTGAGCATAGACTGGGTTGGCTTTTAAGATACGTGAACAAATATCACTGATGGGCATAGACGAAGTACGAGAGAAGACTGATTGGATGAGTCACGATGCATGTTAAGAGAATACATACTTACCGAGAGCATCAATAATGACTTCGGCATAGTCTGTTGTATCTTGCAGGTTCAGATCTTTTTCTTCAAGCACTTGATTGTCTTCTTTTTCTGGTTCAGGGGACAATTCCTTTGGGTCTATAGGAGAGAGAGTATCTACAGGAACTAATTCAATAGGATAGTCTTCTTCTTTAGGTTGTTGTTCTTCTTGTTTTTTAGGTTGTTCTCTGTTAGGTTCTTCTTCTTCTTCTTGCTCTTCTTTGGGTTGTTCTTGTTTTTTCTTCTCGAGTTGTTCTTCCAATTCAACTGGTTCAGGCGTTAATTCACGTATATGTTCTATTTTTTGTTTCTTTATCTCTTGCGTCATGGCAGGTATTCTAAAATAAAACTGATCACCCAAGACATCCACAAAACTATTTTCGCTCAAAGGAATTGTCGCATGTTGATCATACTGAATATCATTCACACAGGCACCGTTGAGTCCCAAGACGGTCAATTCAAACTGTGAAGACAGCTTATTAAACTCAATCGAGACATGACAACGACTGATTTGTCTGTTGCGTCTACCAATCTTGATGGTGCAGGCACCACCACGACCTAATGTTACTGGTTTTTGAAAAGAACCCATGATAACTAAAGGTTCTTGTGTGGCATACATGCCAAGTGATGAAGGGTGAAGATGAGACGTAGGTTGAAGATCATCTGAGTTCGTCATGGGTGTTTCTTCCATGGTTGGACTATCTGGTGCATGATCAAGTGGACGTTTCGAAGGTGTCCAAGTATCTAAAGTGGCCATCTCTTGTTATTAAAAAAAAAGAAGAAAAAAAAAAAGAAAAATTTTATAGCGTAGTTTATTTTTATCGCGTTTGAAACGCGTCATTCTTTTGTATCCATAGTAATGTAGAATAGATTTAGTCATGTTTATTTGATTGATTGGCTGATATCCCTTTTTGTTTTCCCCAGAATCTTCTCTTTTTTTTTTTCTTTTGTCTTATTTGTATATATGTCTGCTAAATTACCAGAGTTTCCTAAAGAACATTATCCAGATGACTTGGAATTAAAGTAAGTATTTCGTAATATCATCCTTCACTCATGTCCTATTAGACTATTGCAAATAGTGCATCGCCATGGCAAGTCACTCTGCACGCTATAACGTCACTAACCACCAATGTAGGTGAACGTGCACCTGTCAGAAGACGATTAGAAAAACTAGTTCCTGCTGTTTGGAATCTATGTGATGCCAATGCATCCATGTTTGCCACTATTGCTGAATTCAATCGACAAAAAATAACCCATCATCATGTACCTGTCGAAAGAGTCTTGGAGACAGACACAACAGAAAGTAAACAAGTCCCTATTCCTTCAGGCGGATGGTACGTTTATCTGTTGATACGTGTCTTCTTATATCATTAGTTACTATGGCCAATTGACAACACTAGGAAGATATCGAATGAATACATTGGGTCAACATCTTCGCGCATTTTATATTGACAAGTAAGGAATGATCTTGTTTTCTAAAGACTCATCGATGGTATTTAGATTAAAGTTTCTGCCTGATGTCTATGATGAAGAGACTACCTATCTTCGTAGTTCTGATTATCCTCGTACACAAGAATCTATTCAACAATTAGTAGGAGGTGGTCTTTATCCTCAAGACAAGCGACCTATGGATTTTACTGGATTCCAACTTCGGGTTCGGTAAGTAAACCCTATGTCCCTCCTTTTGTTTAACCATGAAAGCAGTGATCCAAGAGACGATCTGATGTTTCCTAATCCCATGTGTTACAAACTACGTTCTCTATCCAAACAATTTACTCAAAAAGTAGCTGAACTCACTCAAGAACAATGCAAGTCCATCTCAGACCGTCTAAGGGACCATGTAGAGGATGTTTCATTGACCAGTCATCCTTCTGCCAATGGTATCCTGGATACGTTGGTAGCAGCCAAGGTCCATGGCTATGATTTGCCTCAAGAAATAGATGATCAGTTACTACATGATCTGGAAGATGTGGTTGTCAAGGAATGGTTTTATGGTGCTATGGTCTCTGCTGATGTACGTCGATTAGGCCTGGGTCGATTGATGGGTGTCATTCGTGATCGTATGGTACGTAAACAAGAACAAAGAGAAAAGACCAAATTGGCTGTCTATTCTGGTCATGATACGTAAGTGGGCTATATAAACTGATTTGAAGTATTACTTACATGTTAAAGTACGGTAGGACCATTGTTGATCTTATTAAATGCATTTGATCAAAGGTAAGACAAAATATACAATGACCAGTAATACTCATCCATTCAAAAGATGGCCACCTTTTGGTAGTGCAGTCTTGTTTGAATTGTTTCAACAGACATCTACACAACAACACTTTGTACGTGTCAAATACAATGAAAAGACATTGAAATTACCTGGCTGTCAATCTAAAGGAAATCATAAAGAAGGAGATCCAACTTTATGTACTCTAGAAGCATTCAAGGCCATTGTACAAGATCAAATACCTATGGATTGGGAAAAAGAATGTAATTGAGTGTCACCTTTTTTTTTTTTTTTTTGTGTGTGAGTATTCTGACTTTAAAAATAAATAAATAAAAAGTGAAAAAGTAAAAAGCTATAACACACTTTTTTTTTCTTTCTTTCCTCTTTTTTCATATATATATATATATACACACACATACAATGAACTATACAAATATGAATACAGACTGGCAAACACCTTTACAAGAACCAGTTGCTTTTGAAGGTATTAAGCAAAATAAAGATCTTGTACTAAGTCATCTTAGACTTTCAGTTTAGTTTAGGTCTTGACCCTGAGTTTGCTATGCCTATCCCATTAGATATGGCACCACCACCACTACCACTACCACCACCACAACCCATGACAGACGATTTCTTTTTCAGTTCAATGGAGCCACAACCACCTATGCCTCCTCCAATGGCTGTATTGGACGAACAAGATCATAAAGCGTTTAGTCAATTTCTAGACCAGTTTTTTGTAGACCCACATATGCAACTCGATCCACTTGGGATACAAGAAGATGAAGCGTATCGTCAATCAAGTATTCTACAATCATTAGATGATCATCATCAAAAGAGACGTAAACAAGGTGGTGGAGGTGCTATAAGAAGAGGCAAACCACATAAAGAACTACTCACAGAAGAAGAAAAACGCAATAATCATATTGCGTCTGAGCAAAAGAGACGCAGTATGATCCGATCAGGATTTAAAGATCTGACTGATATTGTGCCTACACTTAAGAATATCAATAACTCAAAAAGTACTGTCTTATTTAAAGCAGTGGATTATATCAAATACCTTGAGAAGCGAAACAAGGGTCTAAGAGACAAAATCAAGCATTTACAAGTACGGGTGGAAGTAGAAGGCAGAATGCAACTCCTACCCATCACAAAATCACATGAATATGATCAAACACAGGCTGCTCTTTTACAACACAAGACACAGCAAAAACAATTGATGGAATTACAAGAGAAATTACAGTTACATCAAAAAGTGTTGGCTCAAAAGAACTATCGTAAAGAAGGTAGTGAATTATTAAAAGCCTAACTGTATATTTATTATTATTATTATTATTATTATTATTATTATTATTGCGGTCGTTCGTATTTCTTTAAAAGTGCTTTTTTTCTTGTTTCCCAATGAGTTGGATTGAATTGTTGAGGTTGAAGAGGTGGTTGGTTCCATTGATAATAAGTCGATGTTCGCCTTAGAAATCGGTCATTTAATAAGGGTTCATCCTCCTGTGTATCATGTGATCTTGAACGAGCATAGACCATATAACTCATTACCAATAACACAAGAATCAATAAACATGCCATGATATCCATAGAAAATAAAGACACTAAGAATAAATCAATATGTATCTATTATTTAGTTATTTTTTTTTTTTACCATGGCATTGTTGATAATAAGCATCCAATCCACATACATCATTGCCTGTCCAACCTGTGTTAGTACAACGGAGTGGATCACGACAGAATCCACATGCAGATTGTGCTATACATGAACTACATGTAGTATATTGACTACAGTCTATTTCTATTAACTGTTGATTTCTATTGTTCATGACTTGAAACATAAAAAGAAGGGAAAAAAAAATAAAGAAAAATAGAAAAAATAGAAAAGTGTTTATTGAACGGTGTTTTAAAAGAGAAGCATCATTTTGTTACATATCATTCATTTTAACAAATGTACCTTCTTGAGGTATATGTCTTTTTCGATAGATAGATACACCTACAATGGCCATAGCAGCCACACCCACTACAACACCTATAGCCACACCTACTTTACCCCCTGTGGAGAGACCATGCGATATGTTTGGATTCGTAGATTTCTTGGGTGTGATATCCAATGTCTTGTTGGGTTGAAAAGGTTGATAACGACAACTATCTAGATCAAGACGTTGAATGACATTGGTACAAGTAGGATAGGTTGTATTTGAAATAAATTGAGTATCTTCTAATTGAGCAAAGGCACGGAACCAAGTTCGATTCATACTAGGTTCATAAGTATTATAGACCATATGGATCATATCACTCAGTACAAGATCAGCACGGGCAGCATGACGAACAGGCCAGTCTAAGTAAGCGTCAATTGTTTGTTTGTTTGTTTTTGGTTTTTACCTGAAAATCCATCTGTATTCATCAGTCTGTCTGTACGATAAACAGCCTGTTCTATCAAAAAGGCAAATGTATTACTGTTGGGTGTCAATCCAATCGCTTTAAGCCAATCACCATACGCAAAATTGGCCTTGAAATTAGCAGGATCAGAATTATCTATCAAGACATCCACATGCTCAATGGCTTGATGAAATAAACTCAAGTTTTGATAAGTAGTAGATTGATTTAGAGAATGAATCAATGTCATGCCTAAAAAGAATGAATTCCTCTTCTCTTGTTTTCATAGAGTGACTATACCTGCATCTTGGACAAGTGTGCTTGTATAGACATCATAATAAAGTGTCCATGTCTTATCAAGTGCATGATAAGATGTCCAGCCAATGTTCTTATTTCCAGCATACATGATATTGGATTTGTGACAATTGTATTTGTTTTGAATTTGATCAAATACAGAAGCACCTTGTTGTTCAAGTTCAAAGAAATGAGCCACGTAGATAATCCAGGCAGATTGCTATAGATCACTATTCAATCATGCTGCCTATACATTATTTGTTTTACCTGAAGAGGGGTCAATGCTTGATGATCAAATGACATACTGATATAAGGTAGACCCACACCAGGACTGAGACTGAATACAGCATCCACAGTTGTATGAGGACTATCTGATATGCCAGCATAACAGGGTGAAGTCACATTCTGGATTGGATTGACTGCCTTGACTTTATCAGTTATATTCAAAAGCTAAGTTTGATGTTTACATATATATATATGAGGCTATTGTATCTCTTAAAAAATCAACTTACTTCAAAGAATGGAAGTACATCTAACGCTTGATCTACACTGACAGATGTAAGGGGTGTATTCACAGCAGCATGATAGCCTGATGTGAAATTCGATAAAGATTGATTGCAACAAACAAGGGCATATCTCTGATTTGTCATCAGATTTGTCAACACTTTATAAGTGTCAAAATAATCTACAGTAAATCCATAACCAAGACTAGCATCTAATTCATACTTTAGTGAGACACTATATATATTTCTATTGTTTACCGGTCAACACTTTATTTTTATAGTAACCTTGCTGTGCTTTAACAAAAATAATTAAGTAATAAAATATACATAAACTAGAGAAGACCATGAAAGAGAGAGAGAGAGAAAGAGGGAGGAGATGGTTATTGTTCTCAAAAAAAAAAAGAGATTGCCTGAGTTTAAACCACAAAAAAAAAGAGTCATTGAAGCAATTGAACAAGTCCTTCTATACAATAATACTTGGCCTATGAACAATATAAGTTATCCTCTATCTATTTTAAACTTACCTCTTGTAACAATTCTTGTCGTCTAAAAGAAATAGATGCGTAAATAACATAAATATACATATAAACTTACAGTTTGATATCTTCGAGTATAGTAGGTGGTATCTTTATAGAAAAAAAAAAAAAAAAAAAGTTAGACAAATGGTTCTCATTTTTTATTATTATTGACTTACCCTTAAATCTCTTAGATAGTTCAATACAAGTCGAAAATGAGAAGGATCTCGGTCAATAAAATAAGATCCATCTGCTTCTGCTGAAATCAAATGTCTTCCAGAAAGCATAATAGCCAATAAACTATTTGTATCACGTCGCAGTGTACCAAGCGATGTCTTCTTTATATATAAGTCTATTATTTTTTTTTGATACTACTTGCCTCAAATAGACTTCCACCTACATTCAGTTTTACTTTTTCATGGTTTTCTTTCAACTGAGTATCTTGATCTAACAAGACATCAATCCACCATTCCACACATATATATCTTTCTTACTTTGACTGGTATGTTTGGATTGGTATTCTTTTTGTTGACTTAGTTCTTCACATTGAGATAAAAGACGCATAGACATGGCTTCATATTCTTTCTCCATATTAAAATAAAACCCTGCTTTGATCAAATTGAACTTTTGGTCTAATGCTTGCATCTTTTTTAAAGTAACATAAATATCACTATAGATATCGAGTTTCATATCATCATAAGATGCATTCAGTATTTTATACTGTGGCCTGTAGTCTAACTCACATAAGTCAGTCCATCTATATATATATATATATTAGTATTTACCTTCCCATGATAGTGTATGTTGTATATTCAGGTCTTTCATTTTTGTATGGATAGATTCAATCATATCTTCTTGTTGTGTCTCTATAGAAGGTAAATGACCATGTCTTGTATTCTCTTCCTCTTCTTCTTCGGCTGTATAAATAGAAGTAGTTAAACTATTATTATCAGATTGATATCTTTTGGGTATATCCATCACATCATCATAAACATCTTCATGTGTAGACAGGCCTATAGGATATATATCTCAATACACACATATACACACACTTTTTTTTTTTTTTTTTTACTGTTTAAATCTTGATAGGCAATATCTGAAAGTGAAGATGGTTGACTATACATCCACTGTGGTGGAGGTTCAAAAATATCCATCAAAATAGGTCTTTGCATACAAGAAAGAAAAAGAAAATAAAAAAGAAAGGGCGTGCTTTATACAATAAGGTATACAGATATATATATATATAAAGGGTAGATCGCGTGACAATCATAAGATAATTAGAATACAATGCCTCTTAATAAGCCTTCTTTGCTTGTCACAACCACTTCTTTTCCACCAATCACATTCACATCAATGCCTCTGACTTGACTGTACTGACCATTCCCATTGGCTGCCACATTATCTACTGTGCCTGTAATCTTGCCTGTCTCGATATCCATCACGGTCACTTTACCATCTTCTGTCAACAAAAATAAAGAGGTATAGAGTACATTATAGGCGGTATATTTGACAGGTATGGTCTCATCATGTTCAAATGTATGGGTCAGTAGCATAGACGGGCATCCCTCCGGGGGTGAATAAGGCAATGGGGTATCTGGGGTAGATGTATGCATGGCAAGCGCAAGCCGCGTGAGTTCCTGTGTACGTCGAGGCCACCATGAGAATCGATGGGCCAGTTCAAGCTGCAAGGTATCCGTCAATCCATCGATCGGCCTTGCATCAAAAGGATCCCATGCGACTTGTAACAGATACGAAATATCCCAAACTTTGATCTCGAGTTTGTCTCGACTGGTGTCACTCCGATTATCACCTACAGCAATCAAGCGAAACCCATGGTGCGCTAAAGGAGCATCCTGGCTTGGCCAACACGGGGGTAAGACCAAGGTCGATTCAAGCCCCCAAGGCCGGACATCCATCACAGCCTCATCGTCTTCTTTACTTGTCTTCCATGGCAACGAACCGACTTTGATGCCAAACCGCCAATCGTACACAGACAATTCATCATCTTGGTAACTTCCAGTACAGATCAAATGGTTCAAATAAGGAGGGTATTTGAAATGAATCATGCAGCTCACATCACTGCCTAGCCGAATCGACGCTATCATCTCTGTAGGTTCGGTCCTGGGACGCGACCGTGGTGACTGAGGCACCAATTGATGCAGTAAATGGTCCCAAGCAACCGGTGTCACAGAGGGATCCAACACATACGGATCTCGAATATCAAACCGGGCCAATTGAACACAGCCGGTGATACGATCATAGATGGGCCCAATGGCTAATAGAAACACCGTGTAGCATGGATCATACTCGACATGTGCAGGCGAGACGATCTGAAGCCATTGGTTCAGATGGCCCGACCAGGATGTGTCCGAGAACAAGAACACTTCTCTGCCCAAGAATAAATCAGCAACCTTGAGATGCGCCACACATTGGGTAGATCCATCGTCCAAGAGGCGATAGACAAACAAGGATTTCCAGATATCCACACGGTCTTCATGTTCTGCTTCCATGCCTGTCATCAAGGCAATACCCACAGCCAGTGAAAAGAAACGCATCTGCTGTGTACCACCATCGGGTGTGGGCATACGGATGGACTGAATACCGATAATTTGGCATGTTAAAGTAGGTGGTGTCAACACAAGTTCAAAAGATCTTATCAGTTTCCAAGAGGGATAGTCCCAGAATAAGATCTTGTGTTCAGAATACGACTTAAGTCCAGTCGTGATCTTGCGATGTTTACCTGTGGCTACGACACCTTGTTGAGTGATGCGATCCATGTCGACCACCAAAGGATCTTGAATCCAAAATGGCTGTTGTTCTTCGTCTTCGTCTTCTTCGGCTTGTTGCTGACGCTTTCGTTTTCGAAAACTGCTTAATTGTTCTTGAATAAATTCAAATGAAAAATGATGCGTTGCTTTTTGTTGCTTCATTAAATGAATCATAAAGTCTTTCCAATCGATAAGTGGATGTGCATTGACTGCATATTTTACGCGGCTACCCCAGATAGGGTATCGTTTCTTAAAGGCCAAATACCACAAATTAGGATCTTGTGTGATACTAAAATATTGCATGGATGAGATGTGTTGACATAAACCACCTATACCCACTTGCCTGTAAAAATGGCTAGATACACTTCCTATCATAAGAAGTTGTTGTATATCGTCTACAAGGAATCTAAATATACGTAGTAATAATTCGTCCGGAAGTCTGTCCATAATAAACCGAGAAATAATAATAATAAAAGAGAAAGAGAAAGAGAGAGAAAGAAGGGAAAAAAAAGAATAGGAATCCATTTTAAAACTCAATCCAAGGGATTAATATTCATGCTTCAATTTAAACTTATCCATGCTATTATGTTCAATTTACAAAAAAAAAAAAAAAAAAAAAAAAAAAAAAAAAAAAAAAAAAAAAAAAAAAAAAAAAAAAGAAAGAAAGAGAGAGAGAAATAGGGTATGTATTTTATTATAGTTTGGTTTCTTGTCTTGGTTCTATCTTTGTTCAGCGTCATCTTTTTTTATTGAAATAACTCACTTACCTAGCCAAGTACGCATTCGATTCAATGCATTGGTTGTTGCTACATCATTTCCATTTGCATTCGTTGTACTCGTACTTGCTTGTGTTCTACGCTCCATCATTAAATAGTGCATTTGCATCCTCAGACCATGACAAATGGCTCTTAGGCTCTGTAATTCTTCTTGTAACCGAAATGTCTCTGTCATCAAGGCCACATTCTGTTTCAGTTCAAGAGAAGCCATATTCGCATTCAAAGTCTCTAGTTCATGACTGATACGTTGATTCTCCGCCAAGACAGATTCATTGCGTGCATCTTGAGGCACATCAGACATAAAATGACCTGGAAACATCAAATCAAGTTGACGTGTAATAAACTCAATTTGTTGATTGGATTCAAGCTGGTATCGTTTCAAGGATTCGTTTTCTTTATGGACCTGAGCAAGTTCAGCCCTCAAGGATTTTTCAACTTGTTGCTGTTTATGCAAGAAAGGTTGAATGGATTCATATACACATGTGGATAGATGAACGTCAAGGTATCGGCGTTGGTCTGACCAAGGACACCCAGATTCACTATGGTGACATGAAACAGTCAATTGAGGACAGTCATGCAGATGAGCATTGTGTTCGGATCGAGGCCTTGAGGTATCACAATAAGGACAAGTCATGATTTCGGAAGGACAAAGGTTATAATGGTCCTATGAAATGATGTTAAATCCATCTTGACAAAAAAAAAAAAGGCTCTTCCTTTCTTGTACCTCCATTTCATAAGCACAGAGTTTCTTTTTACACATGTTGCATTCCATGACTCTGTAGTTGCATGTCTCTGCGTGTGTTGAAAGATCTTTTTTTAAGAGCAATTCCTTACATTCTTCTAGTTCACAGGGTGCCATGATATATTGACAGTCCTGCTTTAAGTGTGACTCTATATATTGTCTTTGACCTTGATAAGGACAACCTTGTTCTTGTCGAGGACAATAGACCGAGAGTTCGTTCACCATATTAGTAATGATCTTAGCTGCTGGCTCAACATCATGGGCTGTTAAGGCTGTTCTGTCAATAGGGCAATGAGGAGAATTCTCAAGTGCTTGAAGAATACAATGGTGACAAAAAGTATGTCTAGTAATGAGCATCAATATCATGGATGCTATCATCATTTATTTACCCGCAAGTAGATATGACTGGCTCAATAAAAGGTTGTTGACATATACAGCATATTAAATTATCATTAACATGATCGACATAACAAAGTGTTCTCAAGTCAATATCCATGGCGAGAATAATAATAATAATAATAAAGAAGAAAGAACTGTATTTCACATGAATCTGGTAAATCACAGAAGAACGTCACTCACTAAAATACAAGTGTTCGTTTTGATTGGTCACCATAGCCAGTAATAATTATAATTTTTTTCCTTGATAAACATGGCTTAAAGGGAAAGCTATTTCTCTCCTCTCTCTCTCTCTCTCTCTCTCTCTCTCCTCTCTTTTTTTTCTTCTTTTCTATTGAATAAAACTTTTATCTATATATAAATATGGCCAAGGATAAGGTTACCAAGAAGTCTCGTAAGTAGGATAGAAAAGAGAGGGAAGGGAAAAAAATTTTTGATATTAATCGCGTTCTTTATTAGCCGCTAAGAAGTTGTCTCCTTACAATACATACATGAAGGTAATAAAATCAAATGGACGCGTATTGCAACTCAATGATTGACATACATGTATCATTAGGATGAACTCAAAAGAGTAAAGGAGGAAAACAAGGGTATCTCTCATAAGGATGTAAGTAGACCTAATTTATTTTTGATTTTTTTTATTAACATGTTTATTGATAGGCTTTCAAGTTGGCTGTAAATATATATAAAATCTTTTTTTCTTAAAAATAACAGTCGTTTACTGAGCTTTAATATTTTCTATAGGCACAAAACTGGGCCAAGTCTTCTGAAAACCCCAAGAACAAGAAGGGCGACAAGAAGGAAGAAAAGAAGACTGAAACAAAGGCTGAAGACATGAAGGTTGATGAAGAAGAAAAGAAGACTGAAGAAGAAGAAAAGAAGGAATAAATGGTTCTTTTTTTTAAAATCTAAATAAATATCTATACATCATTTTGTTTCTCGCTTATTATCATCGTCATTATCACCATCACCATCATCATCATTATGGCTTGGATATTTGGAAGCACCAAAAAACGTATATACAAATTGCATCTTTTTTTCAACAGCTCTTAATTCATCTATCCAAGGTGTCAATTCGTTTTCATTGACGTTTTGAATAGCAGCTTGTAACTAACCCAAAATGTATTAATGAACAATAGAGACTAGCCTTAACAAACCTTGTTGATGTTGTCCACAAGTGTCTGCATCTCTACCAAAATTGCGCTCTCATAGGAACGCATACTTGTATAAAAAGGAAAAGAGAAAGAAAAGAAAGTAAAAAAAAAGAAAAGTGTTAAAGCAAAACACTTGTTTTTTGTGACTGTGGCTAACAATGACAAAGGATTGTTTTTTTTTTTGTTTCATTCATCATTAATCATGGCAGCTGTTGCAGAACCATTGACCATGTTCATTGTGGTCCGAAAGGATCTGGTAAAGGTAACATTTGAACAAAGCTTGAGTATAACTGTTTAACGCGTCAGCTTATACAGAAACTTCAATGGCCTACTGGAAGGTGCGTGTGATGACTTGATGACATGCTCATCATTGTTTAGTGTAATGACGCAAGCATGTCATGCTGCTACTGCTGTTTTGCATATCACTCGTGAGGACGAAAACACAAAGGAATATCTCGCCAGTTTAGATTATATGCATAAAGTGGTTTTAGAAGTAAGCATCATTCATTCATTCATCGACTTATGACATGACTAGACGAAAAATGAAGGATCTTTAGAAAAATTAGCAGAAGCTTTAACTACACACAACATACCTTTCAAGAAATGGATTGAGCAACCCGAAAACATACCTACCGCTCTCGCCACAGCACCTTTGAGATCAAGAAGTCCTGAAGTACTTGAAGCCTTCAAGAAGTGTTGCTCTTTATATAAATAGTCACTGTTTTCAATCTCAGTTGACATCTTACATCAAATAAAAATATTTTTTTTTCTATCTTTGATGCGAAAAGGTTTATTTTGTCTTTTTAAACAGATATATAATAGAACTATGTCCACTGCAGCAGAAATAGATATCGCTCAATACAACACTGTTACTGAAGGAAAGGCTACCATTCTTTTTCCCAAGAAAAATGAAGTGTTCTATAATCCAGTTCAACAGTTTAACCGTGATATGTCCATTGCTGCTATTCGTACTTGGAGCGAGATTTACAACCAAGAGAAAGCAGATCGCTTACAAAACAAGATCAACAAGACAAAAGGTATCATTGTACTAAATTTCTTTTAAAGGCTCTTTTTATTGACTTTGAATAGACAAGGAAACAAAGGAAAAGCTTGAAAAGGTAAACGAGTGCTATATATGCAATGGAATATCTAAACAACCACCCTTAGTCCATGGAGAAGTTCAAGACAGATAACAACTTTACTATTCTCGAAGCTCTTGCTGCTAGTGGCTTGAGATCTGTTCGATATGCTAAAGAAATCCCTCAATTGAAGCAAGTTGTCTGTAATGATATTGAATCAGATGCTATTGAAGCTATTCGACGTAATGTCAAGTACAATGGTTTATCGGAAGAATTGGTGAGACCCAATCACGGTGATGCTATGCGTGTTATGTATGACACAGTGGGCACAGATGAAAAATTTGATGTGATTGATCTGGATCCCTATGGCAGTGCTGCACCCTTTATTGATGGTGCAGTTCAAGCAGTGGCTGAAGGTGGTTTATTGTGTGTGACTTGTACAGATCTTGCCATTTTAGCTGGGTCCATGCATCCTGAAACTTGGTAAGTTTATATATATATATATATATGTATAGCTGAAAAATTGAGCATGGTATTGATGACTTGTCAGTTTTGGCAAATATGGTGGTATGCCCTTAAAGCATATGTTTCCACATGAAATGGCACTTCGACTTGTGTTGCAAATGTTACAGACATCAGCTGGTCGTTACAAACGTCATATTGTCCCACTTGTGTCTTGTAGCATTGATTTTTATTTACGTGTGTTTGTGCGTGTCTATACATCACCTAAACAAGTCAAATATTCTGCAACAAAAACAGCTATTGTCTATGAATGCTCAGGCTGCCATGCTTACACTGTTCAATCTCTTGGTAAGGTTGGCTTAAAAGACAACGGCGCTGAGAGACATACACCTGCCAATGGTCCCAGTGTCAACTCTTTATGTGAAAACTGTCATAGTACACATCATATCGGTGGTCCTGCCTGGAGTGGCCAATTGCATGACGATACATTTGTAACCAAGATGCTTCAACATGTCAAGGACAATGAGTCCTGCTATGGCACATCTGCTCGTATGAAGGGCATGTTATCTGTGATCAAAGAAGAAATTCATGTACCTTTCTATTGGACACTTGCTCGCTTATGTGGTACTGTTCACTGTACTAGTATTCCCATGTTAGATCTCTATAGTGCCATTTTAAATGCTGGTTATCAAGTATCTGCTTCTCATGCAGGCAAACAATCTATTAAGACAGATGCTCCTTCCCATGTTATGTGGGATATCATGAGAGCTTGGGTCAAGAAGAACCCTGTTGTGATGAACAATATCAGTGAAAATTCACCTGCTAGAGTCATTCTTGCTAAAGAACCTACGCTTGAAGTGGATTTCACAAGACATCCTAGAGCATTGTCTGAATCCAAATCTGAACATTTGGTGCGTTATCAAATTAATCCAACACCTAATTGGGGACCTAAAGCAAGAGCTGGACAAAAGAGAAAGACAGATGAACAGGTCTTTTAAAAAATAAATAAATAAATTAAATCTCAGTGTAAACACTTTCTTTTTCTTCTTTATCTTTCTATATCATGTCTACAGGTCAACATAAATTTCAATCTTTTCAAACCATGACGGGTGCTTCTACTCGGGACCAAACTATCGAAGAACGATATGGTATTCCCGAGAATTTTTTAGAAATTGAGGTCAAGAATCCTCAAACACACGGTAATTATATTTCTATGAAGGAGAAAGAGAAGCTTAGTTTGTTTCAACCGGATATAGGCTTTGGACGTAAAATGTATACAGACTATGAAATTCTTTGTAGAGTAAGTCATAAGAAAGAAAGAAAGTAAACAATAGACAAAGCGGACTCACACGATAGTAGACCAATATCCCAGCTTTCAAATTGAAACAGTCTGCAGTTCGTAGAAGATATAGTGATTTCGAGTGGTTCAGAGATGTCTTGGAACGCGAATCAACCCGAGTCAATATCCCTCCTTTGCCTGGAAAAGTATTCACGAACCGATTTTCAGATGAAGTCATTGAACAACGTAGAGAAGGTTTAGAGAGATTCTTACAGATCGTTGCTGGTCATCCTTTATTACAAACAGGTAGTAAAGTACTTGCTGCTTTTATTCAAGACCCTAACTTTTCCCGTGATAACTATAACTATTAATATACTATTTTACCCTCTCCCTTTTTTTTTGTCTGTTTATTATCGTGTGGTTAATAGATACTATCTTCTTATGCAATCTAGTTATCAGATTTTCAGGTGCCAAGATTTCCACTTTTTTTTGGGGGTAGAAGATAGGATAAACTATAGAAGTCTGTGGATGTCTACATAGTTTTGTCAAAAATATCTTGATCTTTTCCCGAAAAAGAAAAAGAAAAGTGGGCGACAAAGATGGTTTTTTGGAGATTTATCATAGAACAAAGATAGGATGGACCTATAGAAAAAAAAAAGAAGCAAGTGGTTTGTTTAAACTGCTGAGCAATTGACGTAATTCGAAACGAAGATTCTATGAGCCCTTCAGTAAACATTATGCAGCGTATTTTAATTCATTTAAAATCAAGGCCGTATGTCTCTAGAATAATATTCACTAGGACTCCTGTGATAAATCTCAATACTATAACGAAGAAAGGTAGCTATGCTATCATTCAGTGAAAAACTACCTGCATACATAAAATATCCGCAACAGGGTAGAGGTACCCAAAGAGTCTGTCCGTGTTGGAAATACCTTATTACCGAATCTCTATCAAGAAATGCGCCGAGATTAATAGAATGACCGAAAATCACGTGACTCTTTTATCAAATCAAGAGAATATACAAAATTGACAACCCTCTCTCTTTCCCTTTGTGTTTACCTTGAACGACGAGACTAAAAGACATAAGAGATAAACCAATAATTAACAACAGAAGACTGTAAAGACTATTGTAGTTATAGAGAGATAGACACAAATAGAGAGATTATAACCTTAGGCACAGTTCCTTCAAAAGACAATGAAGATATATGTAAAATAAAATTCATGATAATGATTTTTATTTTATTCCTTTTAAAGTTCTTTTATATTTTCTTCAGAATAAATTCCTACAAAGACAATCGCTTGTCATTAATCTAGAACAGATCAAACTTGCCCAAAAGCAATCACGTCTGAAATGTCAAACAGGAGAACAATTAATACAATCAAATTCTAAAATTCAACAGATTCAAACTGAGTTGAACTGTCAAATATAATAAACAAACTACACAATTAAATCACAGAGAAATAGCGTGAAACAAAATACGGAGGAAGTAGGACAAATAAGGAACAGAAAAAGTACAACAATTGAGAACCAGACCGGAAGATCGGTACACCGGACAGTAGTTCTGACTCGGACCTGATTGGATCTGACAGAAAATAGAACCTTTGGCTGAGACCTTTGGGACACCATTGTACAATCAGACCTTGGCCGAATCACACCAAACTTTGTATGTACCTTAAGAAACATCAGAGACATATATCACTCCAATTTGAAGATTTGTTAGCATAATAAAATTACCAGAAAAATTGTGAAAGAAAACAAAAAATGAGCTAAAATAAACATACACACATAATAAAATGTCGTAGATATTAGGATTTCCGACCGTCAACAGCCAATCGAGGTCGAATATAACCTTCCCTATATGCATAGACTAAACAAGAAAAGGTTTAAACCTCAATTAACCAACAAGAGAAGAAAGAAGTCAAAGCTGAAACTGATTCGTATAAGGAAGTTGCCTTTAGAGAAACTAAAACTGGTATTGTATTCGTCGAGAAAAGAATCAATTAACATGAAGTATATAATTGCTTCCTTCTTTATTTGATTTAGAATATATATTTTAGTATGGATAGGAAAGATATAAATACTGTGTTGTAGATAGATGTAAGCTCTTTATCTTGAGACTTACTTTATCAAAACACAGACGTCACTGCCTTCTAGAATATTTTCCCAATAATATCATTGGCTAGAAAATATTCTATCATCACGTGACCCGTAATATTGAGCACAGACCTTGATAAAATATTAACTTGACAAAAATGTCGTTGTGATTTTTTGATAATAGAGAGTTATATGATAAGATAATGTAGAGACAAAGGTAGATACTTTGAGACTGTTTTATACAATTTTTATTGTTATTCTTTTTGACTATAAATTATTCTAGCATAATTATACATGAAGAGATGTTGGAGTAAGTAGTAGTAGAGTTTATGCAAATGACTGAGTCTCTATTATCATAGACTACTTTAAATTAATTAAATAATGTAAATTATGGATTTCGGTTATGTGGTGATCTGAGCACTTTCAATACAAAATATAATAAATAGTCTTTCATCATATAAATGAATAATTACTTATAGCACTATACATCATAAATATAAGGTAAGCATTGTATAATGACAGTAAATAACGGTAACTGGGATAATATGGATATTTACAAATAAGGAAACCATAATTGTACCTTTTAGATAACCAAGAGGATTAAAGGAGAATCTACATAGTCAACTCCCAGGCACAAGCTGTCAAGGTGTTAAGTAATCAATAATCAGTAATCATAATTAGTCAATAAATCAGGTAGTATAAAAGACAACCTGGAAAAGATATATTTTAGAGAACAATAAATTTATTTTGTAATAAAGAAGTACTGAACAGTCTCACTGTATTTCTTTGTTTTCTTTTTATTCTATTCTATTTTCATTTCACAACCCAAACATCACAGGTTATACGCCTTGATCTATTAAAAGATGCATCGACTTATTCAGTACAAGTGGCTCTTTTATGTCTATTTCTGATGTAAATCGATTATGATATATTTTAGCATGTAATTGAAGACTTATTTAATGTCAGATCATCACATGCATATAGATTCTATATGTTCACAACAAGTTCAGATAGAAAAGTATAAATACTGTGCTATTGATAACTATAAGTTCTTTACCTTATACTTACTTTATCAATACACAGACACGGACGTCACGGCTTTCTAAAACAGCTTTCCAGTGATGTCATTGGTTAAAACATTTTCAAGAGTCATGTGACCTATACTATAAAAACTATATTAAATTAGTTAAACAACAAAAATGTCACAGAAAATAGTGATTCCAGTAAGAAGCAGCCAATTGAAGCTGAATATAACCTTCCAACAAACTATAATCCGAACAAACGAAGGTTTAAACCACAAATACTGAACAAAAGAAGAAAGAAAGTCCGCCTCAACTTGATTCGCATTAGAAAAGCCAAGCACACTTTAGATTCGTCAAAACACAAACATCAATCAGCTTCAAGTATTTAATTACTTCCTTCTCCATATGTTATAGTTTATATATTTTAGTATAATTAGAGAACATATAAATACTGTGTTATTGATACTTGTAAGTTCTTCATCTTATACTTACTGTATCAATACACAATTCCTTTCTGTGACGTCACGTTATTTCCAGAATATTTCCCAGTGAATCTATTGGCTAAGAAACGCTCTATTGTCTCGTGACTTAACTAAAAATACAAATCTTAGTAAATTATTAGATTAACAAAAATAAGTTGAGGGGCTATGGCCCAATGGATAAGGCGTCTGACTACGAATCAGGAGATTCCAGGTTCGACCCCTGGTAGCCTCAACATTTCTTTTTACTATTTCATTGAGTTTCGTGAGACGTTTTGGGATTGTATTGTAATTTTTATCGTTATTTAGCTGATAAAAGAGGTCTATTTAATTCAATTGATTTACATGGTCTGCATAGCAAATTCCAGCATATACATAAGCCAAATTCTTGTGAAATCATATGATGTGCTTTTGCCATAGATAAATTGCAAATGATAATTATAATTTGTAGATAAAATCATAGCCTAATTAGACCAGGATGTATATTATGATTATGAACAGTTTGGACTCAAGCATATTTATCTTCAAACACGTTATAGGAGACAAAGATATATGAAACTATAGTTTAGCCATCTTGGCGGCTCTTCTTCGTTCAATGTTACAACTAATTTCGGTTTTTAAGACTAAAGAATAGACTTAAACTTATTACTATTTTTAAAGGCACAGCTGTCTCACTTTTATGCAAAGCTCTGGATGTCTTGAATGCCCTTCAATTCTTTGTGCTCTCGAGATTCTCCTGACAATACATGATTTATTAAATAATTTTTCTTAGTAATTACACAAACGTTCTTGACGTCAAAAAAAAATCGTGAGGTATGACAAGAAAATTTGACGTTCTTCAGACTAAATGATTCAGCAGTAGATAGTATAAATGAATAAGGATAGTACTCATAAAGGATGCAGGCCAACTGTAATATCTCGCCGCTTGTTGTTTAATATGGAACCAAAAAAGAAGTACTTGTCAAAGTTGATATATAATAAATTGTTTCTTTTGACAAGGTTCATAGAAACAATAAGAAGACCTTTATTGCCGATGTAGAACTTTAGGTCCTAGCACCAACAATTGGATTCTAGACTATGAGTTTACTCTACTTTAATTTTCGTCTTCTGTCGTTCAATACAATACAGGTTCATGTATTTAGTTTTAAACACGCATTATAGAGTTTGACTTGTCAGTTCGTATTGAACCAGAATGACAGGTGGTCTAATGTGGAAATATACCTGCAATCAAGAAGCATTTACATGCTTGATGTAACCACATTCTATAGTAAAATTAATAAAGAGGGTTTGTATGTAATTTAAATTAATATAATTGTCCTACCAGCGCATGAAAAAATAAGGGAGTTTGTAGTGCAAGATAATAGAATCAGTTCAATCTCAGTCTTTTATTGGCGTGTAGTTGAAGCAGCAGGCTTCTTAACTGTATAAAGCTAGTAAAGAAATAGCCAAGACATGATTTTGAATGATCTCGTTACAAATTTAAATATAGAATAACCTAATTTTCCCCCCTTCCTCCTCAACAAATGTTACAACACTTTTTTTTCCCGGCCTCCATATATAAACAAAAGAAAAAAAAAAAAGAGAGTCATAGACCTGAATTGATTCTTTCTTCCTTCTAAAACAAACTCAACCTTCTTTCTTTTTATATATTTATTTCTCTTAGACAATAGACTTTATTTATTTAATATTTTAATTTTAAAGATGATATCAAGCCATCGCACTAATAAGTCTCGAGGATTGAATTATTCATTCGTATTGTTTCTATTGCTTTTTTTGTTCAACATCTGTAGTACAGCATACGTCAATGCAGAATCAACCGATAACCATGTAGAATATATCCTTGAATTCGCTACATTGAAACAAGTAACAAATTTCGTCAAGGAACATACGAAATCGAAAGAAATTATTCGTGTACGCCAAACATATGAATCTGATCTTTTTAAAGGTGTAGCCGTCGAGTTTAGTGACGAAAAAGTTGCCAAAAGCATATTGGATCAAGTCAGTATCTTAAAATTCTGGCCTATTTATCACCATATTGGTCCACAGGCACCTTCCCATTCACAAAAAAAGAATAAGTCTACCACGGTTACTACTCGTTTTATTCCAGAGAACAAGGTGTGTGTGTGCGTGTGTGTAGATGGGATTTTCTAAATATTTATAATTTCATACAGGACACAATCAGCATTTTGACCCAGGAGAACAATAGATTCGAAAACCTGAAATCAAACGGAACAGGAATTAAAATTGGTATTATTGATTCAGGTAAGAGTCTTTTTTTAATATTAAAAAAATATCTTTCTAACTTGATCTTAGGTATCGATTACACTCATCCTGCACTAGGCGGGTGTTTCGGCAAAGGGTGTAAAGTCGCTTATGGTTATGATTTGGTTGGAAATAATTTTGATGGTCTTCCCAACTCTATAAAAGAAAGCAGTGATCCTATTGATGATTGTCCTTCTAACTCAAGTACGTCATAAATACCATGTTTCATATATCAAACTCTGGGCTTATAATTATATATATTTAGCTTCAGCCACTGGACATGGAACATTTGTTGCTGGTATTATTGCAGCTGATGACAAAATTTATGTAAGGATACAATTCCCCTTTTCTTGTACACTTACATGTTTTCTCCTGCATCTTACAATAGAATTGGCACGGTGTCGCTCCTGGTGCTACACTCGGCATGTGGAAGTAAGAAAGAGCAAAACGAGAAAATATAAATCTAACTTTCTATAGGGTCTATGGCTGTAATTATGCTAGTTCACCCAATGATATCATGTTGAAAGCAATGGAAATGGCATACAAGGTATGTTTCATAAACCGCATTACTATATTTATATACTCATTCTATTTTTATTTTTAGGCTGGTATGGACGTGATCAGCATTTCTTCTGGTGTTAGCGGAGGATGGGACGAAAGTGTATTGTCTGTGATGGCCGATAGATTGGTGGCTAAAGGAGTTCATGGTAGTTTCTGTCTTTATCAATCTACTCTTTATTCATGTATTTTTTTATCTAGTTGTTGCTGGTGTTGGCAATAGTGGCACAAGTGGAATCTTTTTGACTTCTTCTCCTGCAAGTGGTGAAAAAGTCATCAGTGTTGGATCTACAGACAATAAGCATGCTCCTGGGTATCTTCTCGAATTGGTTAACCCAAAAAAATCGATTCGTAAGTCTATTAGCTTTTATATGTATCGTTACTTATTGTCTTTAGCTTATCGTACCTTTGTCAGTTCTGCACTTACATTAAATAGTACATTGCCCATAGTCGCTTCAGGCAAAAAGTTCAACCAAGCTAATGATGCTTGCAAGAAACTGACTGGCAAGAAATACAAGAACAGCATTGTCTTGATACATCAAGGAGGTTGTGATACTATGAAAAAGATTGAACATGCCTACCGCGCTGGTGCTATTGCTGTTGTACTGTATACTGATATCAAAGATGCTGCTACTACTTACGAGGCATTGACACATGCCACTTTGCCTATTGCTTTCATTAATAATGATGATGGCCGTACAGTCTTTAAAGCTATATCCAAGAAGACAAAGGCACGATTTACAAACACACTTGTTGCTCTTGACACTAATTCTGCCTCTGGAATTTCCTACTTTTCTACCTTGGGTCCTACTAATGAACTTCAAATTAAGCCTGAACTAGTTGCGGTAGGAAGCAACGTGTTCTCCACCTTACCAAGTTATCTTAAATATTATGGTTTTGAATCTGGCACGTCATTTTCTACACCCTATGTTGCTGGATCTGTCGCTCTTTTGCTTTCCAACACGAAAAACACGAGTCCGGATTTAGCAAAGCACGCCTTGATGAACTTTGCCCAGCCAGGTAAGCATGCACACATATGCGCACGAGTATTTAATTTTTTTCTGGATATTATAGTAAGACCACCTATCTCCGCTAATCCTTATGGTGATTCCCCTATTCGGCAAGGTGCTGGGGTGGTCGATGTTGCACAGGCCATCGATGGTCTTCAACAATTCCACGTATCACCTGCAAAACTTAGTTTTAACGATACAGCTCACTTTAATGCCAAGCAGCACATTACTATTCATAATCACCACTCAAAAGCATTGACGTTCCACATACGCCATGATCCTTCTTTGACTGCTAATGGTTATTCTATCACAAACGAGTCCTATACACCCAATGAACCCGTCCAACTCTACAATGGAAATAACTCTGTAGCCAAATTGATCTTTTCCAAGTCTGTTGTCACTGTGCCTGCAGGAAAGTCTGTTCAGATCGAATTTACAGTCAAGCCTCCTACTATCTTTAAGCCATCATGGCATTCAATTTATGGTGGATTTATTTCAGTCTCTACTCAAAATTTAAAGGCCAATGTGCCCTATATTGGTATGATCGGCAACATGTCTGATCTCCCCATTTTAGATCGAACAGCAGGGCCCTCGAAGATAGCAGCATTTCCATTCCCCTCAATTGGATTAGCAGATGGCGATAACACATTAAATGGAAACAAGACAGGTCATTTCAAAATCAAGCGTGTTAAGGGTCAGAAGACTGGTATGGGCGGACTTTATTTGATTGCTAGATTGTTGACAGGAACACCTGTGCTTCAGATCCAAATATTAGACGCCAAAACAAACAAAGTTGTTGGCGATGTCCCCATGACGACAGGAACACCTCGTAAATGGATGCTACGCAACACGCTTTCTATCACTGAGTCATCTACCACATTCACTTCTTGGTATTGGTCAGGCGAATACGTGCCTAAGGACAGTACATTGACAGATAAATCTTATAAAGCCAAGGTAGTCGAATCTGGATCTTATCGCCTAAAGCTCCGAGGTCTGCGCGTGTTTGGCAATCCAGAATGCGACAAGGACTGGGATGAATGGATTTCGCCCAAATTAGTACTGGATATTGATTATGTTAAATAAATAAAGGAGTATATCCAACCCGCGGAATTATCGTTACACCAAACAATCTATTTTTGTACATGATCAATATAAAAAAGGTTTTCTATCCCCGATAAAAGTGATATTATAAATAGATATGTTATTGTTTCTGTTTCTTCTTCTTTTCCTCATCTCATCTCATCACTAACAATGACTGTTTCCTCAATTCTCCCTATGAACGAATCTGAAATTCAAGACTTGAAGGCCCGTTTTGAAGCCAATGGCCAAGGACACGTCTTTCAATTCTTTGATAACCTTGAAATTGAACAGCAAGCTCAACTCCTTAAGCAACTCTCGGAACTCGACGTAGAACGTTTAAATCAAATCTACAAAAAGGCTGTTGAAGGTGCTGAAGCTGCCCTTTTGGACAAAGAGACTAAATTTGAACCTTTGCCTGATACCGTCTTTGAATCTGTCTCCAAGGCTTCTCCTAAACAAATCCGTGAATGGGAAACTATTGGTCTCACTCAAATTGCTCATGGTAAGGTTGCTGTTATCCTTATGGCTGGTGGCCAAGGTACCCGTTTAGGCTCTTCAGATCCTAAGGGCTGTTATAACATTAACTTACCCTCTAAGAAGTCCTTGTTCCAACTCCAAGCTGAACGTATTTTGCGTCTTCAAGATATTGCTCGTCAATACACAAAGCCTGGTAAGGATGTCATTATTCCTTGGTACATCATGACTTCTGGCCCCACACACGCCCCTACCTATAACTTCTTTGAAAGTAACAACTTTTTCGGTTTGAAGAAGGAAAACGTCATCTTTTTTGAACAAGGTAAGATAAATCAGGAGAAATTTAGATATGCCTATTTGTTTGTTTATTAATCTTAAATTTCTAGGCACTCTTCCTTGTTTGACCATGGAAGGTAAGATCATTTTAGAAGCAAAGAATAAGGTAAGACGTGGCTTTTAACCATGAGAGGAGCCTATTCTTAACCAAATATGCTATTTTAGGTGGCTATGGCTCCTGATGGCAACGGTGGTATCTATGCTGCTGTTCAAAATAAGGGCGTGATTGCCTCATTAAAAGAACGCGGTATCCTTTACTCTCACTGTTACTGTGTCGACAACTGTCTTGCTCGTGTTGCTGATCCCGTATTCATTGGTTACTCTGTCGCTAAGGGAACCGACTGTGGTGTCAAGACAGTCAGCAAGGCTGCACCCGAAGAACCTGTAGGTGTTGTTTGCGTTCGTGATGGTAAATATAGTGTTGTTGAATACTCTGAAATCTCTCAAGAACTCTCTGAAAAGCGTGAAGAAGACGGATCTCTTGCCTTTGGTGCTGCTAACATTGCTAACCACTTCTTCTCTACCGAGTTCTTGGAACGTGTGCCCTCTTTTGCTGCTGAACTTGAATACCACATTGCAAAGAAGAAGATCAAGTATGTCGACCTCGAAACTGGCGAAGTCATTGCTCCTAAATCTAACAGTGGTATGAAGCTTGAATGCTTCGTCTTCGATGTCTTCCCTTACGCCCAACACTTCTCTGTCCTTGAAGTTGATCGTAAGGATGAATTCTCTCCTCTTAAGAATGCTCCTGGAACAGGTGCTGATTGTCCCGAAACATCAAGAAGAGACATTGTCGCACAACATGTGCGCTTTATTGAAGCAGCAGGCGGCAAGGTCGTTGGTGAACACGAAGGTGACTTTGAAAAGCTCGAATTCGAATTGTCCTCCTGGGTTTCTTATGCCGGTGAAGGCCTTGTAGAATACGTTTCTGGAAAGACAATCACTACTCCTGCCATTATTGAAACCAAAGAAGACTTGATTCGTCTTGCTCATTAGATAAATTACATTCCTATAGACATTCACATCCCCCTTTTTTTGTACAGAAAAATTTCTCTTGGAAGTTGTTTTTTTGGTCGTTTTTCTTTATACCTCTTTTTCATCTCAATTCAATAAAGTAAATCGCTCATTTACCCATGATTTTAATGGATATGTATCAGTCAGATTGGCGCATTGTTCTTTTTTTTTTTAATCCAGGCTTCCGAAAATTGAATTCAATTTCACATGTAATTTCGTATAAAAAGTATGGTATGATGATCGGTTCTGCTCTGACTGTATTACGACTCTACCCGAAAAGACCTGTGTTACATTACCCCGCACAGTTATAGTCATCTATATTAGCTGTTTATTTTCTAAATTTCAAGTAAGCAGATGTATACAAGAAGAGAAGAGCATAAAACGAAAAGTAAAAATAAATAAAATGAACAAATAGATACTTGGTTTATAGGTATATGTGCTTCATATGCATCTCTATATGTGTGAGTGTGTGCACGCCTTTCTTTTTATAATTTACAAGTCAGCTCATTATTTTAAATATATTTCAGCTAGTTCCAACTGTCTTTTTCTTTTCTTTTCATTTACAAACAATGTCTAGTTCAAGTAAATTTAGTATTTCTATAGTTGTATTTTGATATTAATTGTATTGTTTAGATCTTCGTTTAGCATGCGTGGTAAGTATTGATCTTTAAAGATGAAGTTATGCGTACTAACAATGTATGCAGATGGTTGGTTTACCTGCAAGAGGGAAGACCTTCACTTCGCAAAAAGGTAAGCAGCAGTTGTATATGCAGTTATTCATACCTTATTTAGTCTGCAGGTACCTTACCTGGCTTGGTATTTCAACCAAGGTGTTTAATGTGAGCAATTATCGCCGTCAGTTTTATGGTGCCCAACAAGATCATACATTTTTTGATCCCAATAATGAAACGGGCTTGAAACAGAGAAAAGAAGCAGCTTGCACAGCTCTTGATGACATGATTCGGTGGTTTAAAGAAGAACAAGGAATTGTTGGTATTTATGACGCTACCAACTACACTAAAGAGCGAAGAAAATGGGTACACGAAAAGCTGAGTAAAGAAAACATCCAGGTGTTTTTCATTGAATCTATTTGTCAAGACGAGTCTCTCATACTCGACAATATCAAAGAGGTCAAACTCAGCTCACCCGATTATGCAGATGCAGATCCAGACCAAGCGGTTCAAGACTTCAAGGCAAGAATCGATCACTACAAAGACCAATACGAAACAGTTACTGAAAGCGAATACACGTATATTAAACTCGTCAATGTTGGAAGTCAGGTGATTATTAACATGATTCGCGGTTATCTTGAGTCTCGTATTGTGTACTACTTGATGAATTTACACACGGCTCCCCGAAAGATCTATATGAGTCGTCATGGTGAGTCTATGTTTAATTTGGAGGGCAAGATTGGTGGCGATTCGCCATTATCGCCTCGAGGTATGCTGTATGCAGAAAAGCTTCCCGAGTTGATCAAGCAGAATTTGGGCGATAAGGAATTAATTATTTGGACATCTACTTTGCAGAGAACGATACAGACAAGTTCGAAACTAAATTACCCCAAAATGAGTAGAAAAGCGTTAGATGAATTAGACGCTGGCATGTGTGACGGTATGACATACGAAGAGATAGAGGTAACGATATAAACACACTGTCATGCATGACTAATAGCTATAAAAATTAGGAGAAATACCCAGAAGACTATGCAAATCGTGATGAAGACAAGTTCAATTATCGTTATCGTGGTGGAGAGGTAATCACTGAAATATGTATATATGTTTATTGACTTGAATTATAGTCTTATAGAGATGTTGTGTTAAGATTAGAACCTGTAATTATGGACCTTGAACGACAAGGCAATATTCTTATTATCGGTCATCAAGCTATCCTGAGATGTATTTATGCTTATTTTATGAACTATAATCAAGAAGACTTGCCATATATCAAGATCCCCTTGCATACGGTGATTGAATTAACCCCCAAGGCTTATGGGTGTGAAGAAAAGAAATATAAAGGTAAAAACTAGCGCAAGACTTAAAAGTGATGTTAACTTGAATTAGTCGATATTGAAGCAGTAGATACACACAGACCTAAACCTACTATCAAGAAAAAGGCGTCTAAACAAGATACACTAAGGGGAGCAAGTGGAGAGATAGCAAGTGATGTTGGAACTCCTATTTTACCCATTAGCCCACAACTCTGGCCATCTAGTACTACCAAAGCGTAATTGACAGTGTGAGAAATTAAAATCAACGGCTCAATTTTTGTCCGCCAAATAAATTAACTTGAACAATGAAAGTTCATTAATAAGTGTTTACTTGACTGTATATCGAAAAGAAACAAGTCGTTTATGCTTTGTTCTTCTGATTGTTTTAAAAGAGCCTGTTTCAACCTAGATACAATAAGAAGGAAAAATTGATTTACTTTTTTGTACTACAATGGAATTTCATATCCAATTATATATCGGACCCAGTTTAACATTTGTTATCTTTCTTTTTCTTCTTTTCTTCTTTCGAGTCATGACTTCTCTTGTTTGTGGGACTGAATCTACGAGACCGAAAAGACCAAGATCGAGCTTAGCAGTAAGTATACATAGTCTCTCCTGTTATACAGTCATGATTGAATTATTCTAGTGTATTCGGTGCAGGAAAAAGAAGGTCAAATGTGATTTCGTTCAGCCCACTTGTGGTCGTTGTAGTGGAGCTAATCTAGCATGCAATTATGCCACTCCTCCCCGTCGAGTGGATGGTCTTGCTTTTGACCAGGTCGGCAGTAATATTCAAGATTTGAAAGGAAGAATGCAGAGAATGTATAGAGAATTATCAGCAATGAGGGACAATATGCATCCTTTTTTCGTTGGAAAGTTCCAATTTGATCATCAAAACAATAACGAATTTAATCAACAAGTGAGATGGAAGATATCATTTGCTCCTTCAGGCTTAAGAATAGACACCAACATTGCTAATGTGACTGAACTCTATCGCATCTTATTAAGTGGTATTCGTCAACTGAATATCAACCATGATCCGTCTTCCAACAGCTTGTTTAATGTAATAGGTAATAAGAGTCGGAGTACAATACAACAAACAACCTGGGAAAAAAACGATCACCGTTTATGGGAAGTCAATGACTTCGAGGCACAGAAAGTCATATTAGAAAAACAAGAGCCACAAGCAACCGCTGATCTGCCTGAAGGAACCCTAAGCCATCTTATGAAAACATGTTATCACTCTTGCTTTTTAGCTTACCAGATATTGGATAAAGATGAATTCATGGCAAAATATGATTCTGGACAACTAGAGCCATTACTTGTGAATTCAATTCATGCTTGGGTATTTAAGCACGGTTGTATCTACCATAATATTCCTCACACACAAAAAGATGCAGCAACCATAGGCGAGGCTTATTTTTCAAAAGCCCGAAGATTATTGGAAAAACGTTTTGACCAAAGCAATTTCACCACAATCCAGGCTCTGTTGAACTTATACATGTACCAGCTTAGCAGTGACCGTTCTAGCTTGGCTTATCTCTACATTGGCTTGGCCATTCGGATGGCACAAGACTTAAAGCTTCATAAGACAGACTATATGCCACAAGATCCAAAAGAGAGAGAAAGGAACAAGCGGCTTTGGTGGTCTGCTTATTGGCTTGATCTTGATGCTGCACTTGAATCCAACAGACCCACTATGGTAGACGATAAAGATATTGATATCGACTATCCTAAAAGACTTGAGACAGAAGATCAAGAAACAGGTTACCGTATTGAATTCAGCGTTCAGTTTATCAAACTGATGAGAATACGTAAAGATATTGCCAAGCATTTACCTTCAGAACAGTCAGGACAGTCTCTACTATCTGCTATTTCGCGTTTGGAAGCCGCTTTGACAAACTGGTTGCACGAAATGCCACATGATCTTAAATATGATCCGAATATCGACAACGCGTTTGTCAAGGCAGGTTCTTTCCGAGACGAAGCGCGTTTGATCCTAAATATTGCGTACCAAACAACCTGGATTATGCTACACAAATTCTTCTTGCCCGAACAAAACACAACGGCTTCTCCGGTTGCCCTACTGTCACTCAATATTTGTACCAAATCAGCCAACTCAATCACAAAAATGCTCCAGACTTATGCAGCACAATGTCATTGGTGTTACTTGTTCTATGCTTTGAATGGTATAGTAGCCAGTGTGGCTATTCATCGTTTGAATGTGTTGCTCAAAGAAGACGAAGAAACAGCTAGTGTTTCACAGCGTCATCTATTACTCACAGCACATATTTTACGCAAATCACCTCTGATTCGCAAGGAAAAAGTGATCAAAATCGTCGAAAGCATACAAGGCTTTTGTAAAGAGAACAACCTCAGTATGAATCTATCTCAATTCGAACCGTATGTTGATGAACACATGAATCCAGCACCCATTCAATTATCAACTGAGTCAATCTCATATATCAATAAAACCGTGTCCAAACCAAGCAAGTCGAGGCGCAAGAACAAGGACAAAGAAAAACCAACTAGCAACACAGAGAGTATTCTCTTGACAGACCCTAACAGTAGTCTTGTCAATTTTAATATTCAACGTATGAACAATAGAAAAGCTGAACCGGACTACCTCTTGAATGACAAGCTTGATTATTCAAGTAGTATATCAAGCAATTCCTCTTTAGATGATCAGCAGAATACACAAAATACTATAGACCTGCATACTCTCTTAATGTCAGATGTAATGCAGAGTCTTTTGTACAATACACAACCCGATGAGTCCGATAACCGTATCTATCTCACAAATGGCCAGTTTTATTCCAATAGAAAAAGATCTTATCAAGAATAAAACATGTAAATAGGATATAAAAAATAGCTCTGTTTTTATTTACTTGGCGCATAAGAAAGGAAATGTGATGGGTTGTGCTATTAAATATTATAGAAAAAGGAGAGTAATGATCCTTTACATGTTGTAAAGTGGTATATATCAAAAAGGTATCACAGTGTTAAGTTTTTTTTTAGGGTTGTTTTTTTTTGCGTTAAACCGAGAAAAAAATATAGTTACGAACATAGAGTGCTGTTGAGTCTCAAGTGATTTAGGATATCAGCATCTTCATAAACAATGTTGCTGTTCAGCTCACTTGAAGCTTGGTGAAAAGAGATCATGGCCGAGCGACTAAAGAAAACAAATAAACAAACAAGCAATAAAAACAATAATGTACCTGTCTATGCTCATATCTATATTTATAGTGTCATCTTGCTTACAAGCAATCATGAAGAAAGGCAGGGCAATTCTACTAGATTGCTGTGCAAACAACGTATGATTATCTTGGTTTCTTAGAATAAGACTGCGGATATTTAAATGCTACAAATGGTAAAGTGTGTTAGTGTATACATACAGTGGTATTCCGTCTGTACCTTTTGTAACTTGCCATTGATTGATTCACGGAGTCTTTGAAGAGACTCGATCAATTCTCTTTGACGAAGCTATAGGTCACTAATTAATAACTTAGATAGATATGTCTCACTTTACTTTTTCCTGTTCAATTTGTTCCAATAGTGCTTTTTCGTTGTTAGTTTGTTGATAGCATTCAGGTATACCAAGCCACTTTATGACCTTTTTGTCTTTTTGAATGATGTTCATGGCCATCAGTACATTCAAAGCATCATAGACACGACGTCGAATGTTTTTTTGGTCATAACTTGATTTCTAATGAATAAATAAATAACACTAGTTTGAATCGAATGTTCATTATTTACATGGATTCTTCCAGTAGAATTTTGAATGTCAAACGCTAATTCATCTGCCACCTTTTAAAGTTACTTTTTAGTCATCCCTATATTATGTAATGAGTTTCATTACCTCGTTATAGGATGTAATTCCTTTTTCAGCAACCTTATCACACACTTGCCTACTGAAATGACGCAGGCCTTTGGTTGAGCGAGCAGAAAATGAAAGACTGCTGTTGTCTTCAAGGCAAGGTTTCTTTTGTGGATGTTCCATAACTTCATCTTGTTTTGGTCTACCTCTCTTTAATGGCGGGAGTGTGTCAAAGAAATCATATCGGCTAGAATCCAATTGCTTCAGTTCCGGATCCGAGTTGAGTAATGAAGCAATAGATCCTTTTCTTCGTACATCTTGTTGCTCGTCATCTAAAGAAGAAAAAGATGAAGGAGAAAAGTAATGGTCAGCAATTGAAGGTGGTGAAGGACTAGGATAAGGTGTATTCATCATGACCGCTTGAATAGGAGGAAGTAAACAAGGCTCTGATTTGTTGTTATTATTCAAGAAAGGTCTTAATTCTGCAACATCGCGGTTTGTGGAACGTCTGTCAGAACTGTGGGCTCGATCCATCATCATAGTTGGCTTTTGTTGGTTAGAAAGCGGGGGTGATGGCAATGCAGACATCATGGAATATGGGACAAAGGCTGAACAAGTCATAGTAAAAAAGGGCTAATATAATATAAGCAAAAGAGATAGGATGAAGTAAATATACTTACACTGTAAAGGAAAGTAGAATATGAAAAAAAAAAAGGATAGAGTAAAAGAGTGGTATTGGGGAACTGTTTGTAGACAAGAGGAATAAAAAGAGAAAGAAAAAGAGAGAAAAGAAAGAGCAATCATAAATATATCTTTTCCATCAATTAAGGTATAGTGTAGTTTAGAACAACAAACAACAACGACACTTGTAGTATACATTAAAAGAAAAGCTTAAATTTTTTTAGTCATGATATCTAGGATTGATCTAGAATAGAGTTTTTTTTGTGACATTATTTGTTTCGTCCCTCTTTCAAAACTATGACCGATGTCTGGCTCTTTCCATGCGATTCTACACAGTAGCACAAAACATCAGACGATCGGTCCGAATACATACACTGTGAATAATTTGTTGAAAAAAATTCGTGCGCTTTCCAAAAAGAATTTCGTACAGCCATTTTCGTATGCTGATGATTCAGAGATTTTCCTTCTAAACAATCTTCAAATTTTGAAACAAAATATCTATGAAAACCCTGCATATCAATCAAGTATATGCTGTTACATACCTCCGTGATTCTAGATGTCAGTGGAATTACGGTAGAATGTAGACATAATCATAGCCTCTTTCTTGAATGTATGATTTGATATCCAAATTAGAATCTGAAATGCTTTATGATAACCGAATCTTCTTACAGTTTAATAAAGACAATGATTAGGGAGAGCATTGTTTGTAACAATTCACTTTTGTAGTCTTTTTTTTTCTCGAGATATGTTTCAATTCTTAATTTTATTTAATGTACAAGTGGGGGTAATCTAATGCTTTGCAGAATGTAAAATTTGAATAACACCCTCAACAACCTTGGGTGGAAAGTCTCGGGCACGCATTTGGTCTATAATCTGAACAGCGTGCTCTTTGTGTCCATTTTCAACATAAGCCTTGACCATTGCTTCATAAGTACTTGGTTCTCTACTCAATTCATCATGGTCGCTCATTTTATCAAAGACCTGCTGAGCTTTATCTAAACGACCTTGAGCACCATAACCAGCAATAAACAAATTTTCAATATAAGAAGAAGACTTGGTACCTTCCTTAAGCATGCCTTGATACAGTTGTTCAGCACTCTTCATGTCATTGTTGTCAATATAGGTATTCAAAAGAGCTTGATACACAGTTTCACTAGCCTTGACGCCTGCCTTTTGCATTTCCTTGTACACAGCCAAAGCAGATTGAACATCACGGTGGAGACAACCATAAGAATTAATCAGAGTGGCATAGTGAGAAGCATTGGGACGAATACCATGTCGCTTGGTCATTTCAGTCAATAACTTGTGTGCAGTCAACATATCATAAGCAGGAATATTGGCATAGGCTTCCATCAATAACTTGTAAGTATGTTCAGAAGGCTTCACGTTGAATCGTTTCATGAGGTTGTAGTATTCAAGCGCCTTTTCACGGTTGGGCTTTTGTTGCACATAAAACTGAATCATGCTGTTATAGGCACCAATACGAGGCTGATACTTGGGAGATGAGATCATTTCTTGGAAATAACGAGCAGCACGGCTTTCTGAGCTACAACGAATACAAGCAGAGATGACAGAAGCATACGTAATAGAGTTAGGAGACACACCGAGTTGCTTCATTTCATCAAGCAAGTGCAGCACAGGCTCAATCTTGCGACATTTGGCCAATTTGGAGATGATGACGTTGTAAAAGTAGACAGTAGGACGGACATTATGCTTCTTGGCTTCTTCATAGATGGCGAGAGCATCGGTTGATTCATCAGTAGTAGAGTTAGCAGTACAGGCCAACAGAGAACCATAGGCATCAGCATCAGGGTACATGTTTTCGCCACGAAGCTTGTCATAGAAGATCTTTGCAGCATTGAGATCACCGTTACGAGCATGAGCAATTAACATAGAGTTGTAGAGAACATAATGTGCTCGTTGCTTACGGTAATTATCCAGTTGACCAAAGGAATCAATAGCTGTATTGTAGATGTCTTGAGCAGCATCCAAACGACCGGATTTGGTAGAGTGTTGAATCATATCACGTACAGCCTCGGGTGTAGGAATAAGACCTTGCTTGATAATCTTGCTGTTCAACACATCAACAGCCGCGTCAAACTTACCGCATAAAGCAGCCTCCAAAGCATCGGAAGAAAGCAAATCGGATTCAGTAATAATGTCAGCAGAGGGAGCAGCACGGACAGCATCACCACTTTCAGGAGTCTTGACAGGTACAGCCTTGGTTTGTTCTTGAAGATAAGGAGCAAACTCTTTCTTCCAACGAGCTTCGTATTCTTTGGCCTCATATTTCTTCATGCGAGTCAAGACACGAACATAGATACTAGCAGGAAGAGATAAGTTCAAAGAGTGCATATCTTGCAAGAGATCGAAAGCAGTTTGGCAAAACCCTTCAGGTGTGTTTTCTTTACGGAAAGCAACGTCGTAAAGAATGGCATAAACCCGGTTTGTCAAATCCTTCGACATGTGTTGCCATTGAACAGGATCATTTCTAGTCTCTCTGTACATTCTCAATACAACATCACACACGGCAGGTGTAGGATGGATATTGTAATGTGTCATCAAATCAAGAATAGACATGGCAGACTTGATATCGCTGCACTTCGTAGTCAAATCCATTGCCAGTTGAGAGACAGGAGAGGAAGCATCCAAAAAGTTAGACGTGGTATGGATTTCAATCAAGGGCTTGAGAACAGAGATAGCTTCTTGTATGCGGTTGTTGTCAACAAAGGCCATCACCACTTTTGTACACAAAGTAGCATTCAAGTCTAAACCTCGAGAAGTCATGTCCTTTACAACATCAAAAGCTTGAACAGGCATGCTGTTTGCAGTGCAAGCATAAATGTAATCAGCCAAATGACCATACTGTTTAGAAATGTCATGATTCAACAAGTTTTTGTAAACTTCAGTGGCCTTGTCAAAGTTCTTAAGACGAGCATAAGCTGAAAGAAGAATACCGTATGTGTTTGCATCAGGTCTAGGTAAGCTGCTATCATTTTCCAAGCGAGTAAGCATAGACTCTGCAGTCTCCATATTGCCATCGAGACAAGCTCTACTCAAAATCTTGTTGTAAGGTACAATAGTCACCTTGACTTGATCCTTGACCATGACATTTTCAACAAAATCCAAAGCGCTCTTGAGATCACCTACATTACAATGAGCATAGACGAAGGCATTGTATACATAGGCAGGATCATGACGAGGAAGTCTACTCTTGTGCAACTTGTATTCCTTGAAGCATTCTTGAACAGCTTTCAAATCACCTGCTGTGCCGAAAAGGAACATGAGTGTAGCAAATGTGTTGCTGTTGGGGCTAACATTATGAGAACTCTCAAGGTGTTCATAGATATAGAGACCTTCCTTTTTGCTGCCCTTGAGTGATAAGCCACGGATCAACGTGTTGTAGAGCTCAGTATCAAAGTCTTGAGTACACTTTTCACTGACAGCTTTGTTAAACAAGTCAAATGCCTTCTCCATGTTTTTCTCATTTTCTAATTCTACTAAGTTGGGTACATGATTGCCAGAGCGAGCAATTTGACGTCGAAGCATGCTAACTGTTCTTTGAACTTCAGTGTGTCTGCTGCAAAGAGAGCGAATCAAAAGCGCATATGTCTGAGAAGTAGGACGAACACCAGAAGCAACCATGTCTTGATAAGCATTCAACATGGGCGTCAAGGGCTGGTTGTGTTTGCGCAATCGACCATAGGCTTCAATCACAGCTTCATATGTCTGAGTAGATAAATGAGGGGCCTTTTCACCAGCAGCAGATCGTCCCTGAACAAAAGCGTTTACAACAGCCTCTGAGTTTTTCTGTTTAGCAGCTTGGAGGATGCGAACATCGACATGTGTAGATTCAGAGACGGCTTCGATCGATCTGCCTATCTTACCACTTGATTTCTTTAAGCGACGATTAGGACCGACTGTTGTCCATGGCGATTGTTGGTGAGGGAAATGAGCAAGTGTAGCAGCAGAAGTAGTAGCGCTGTTGGTGTCAAGCTGTTCCTGCTTTTGAGGCTGGCTTCGGGTGGTGTAAGAAAGCTTCCCAGCTGAACGAGAAGGTAAGTTGGCTAAGAAAGCTGTTGACTTAGGAGCAACAAGTTGTTTGGTGAGTACACCTTGCCTTGTGACAGTGTTGATAATGGTTGATGTTCCTTTGACACCGTACATAATTTAGGACAAACAAAAGAATGTTTAAAGAAAAAAAATTGTTTAAAAAAATATTTCTCGTTTAAAGTTAAGCTGCTCTTTGATTTTGACTCAAAATTCTCGGGTGGTTTTCTAAAGCTGAAGTGACGTGGTCTCAAAAGTAAAAATCTGCTACTTGATCCGTTTTTTAGCCTTAAAAAACACACTAAAGGTAAGTCGTATTGTCCTTTTTTTTTCTTTTGTCAAGGGAGCTAATGCATTTTGTCACTGTGTATGAAGAGAAATAAAGAACACATAATAGGGAAAACTAGGACTACAATATCTCTCTTCCTATTGGATTGCTGACTTTTGTTTTCCTTCTGGAACCTGCCATTTGTCGGAAGACCATTATGATGCTTATTTAGAATGACAGAGCGCTTGTAATAGTGTAGAAGAGATAGCATAATATGTTAACATAAGCTGTGCATTGCAGTTTTAAAGGTATCCATCAGCTCTATCTGTCTCACTGCATATATCTCTTAACATGTATTTTAGTGTGTTTTGCAGGCAAGTATAATTATCTACTTGAATTCTCACAAGAGGCTGTAGTACAATACTTTATTCTTCTTAAGGAATTCTACTTTTTACCATAGAGAATCGGTCCACATTATCCAGTGTATACTTGGTTGTTTTCCCGCCCATAACATGGTCTTCTGGTTTACTGAGATATTCTCGAATGGATGCATTGTATTCTGCTTCATCTTTACTCATTTCTTTCATTTCTTTTTCCTTTTCACGCTCTCTTTGATTTCTTTGTTCCATACTTGAGTACCTTTTATAAGCAAATCCTAATAGATTTACACCCACTACTACTTTGAGTGCTAACAATCTATTCAACGGTAAATATCATGATGATAATAAAGAAAAGAATACTTTACATGATGGCCAAAATGACTACCACAAGTGCCCATATGATAAATCGAAACAATTGGTCTAGTCCATGTTGAAGCCAGCCGGATTTGGCCATAGAAACCAGTAACATATGCACTTGAGTAGGTAAGACTTGGTTCAATAGGTTTTGATGATTCATCAAATAATTCAATACACTTGTAGCAATCATGGAAGCCATAGCATTTGTATTAGCTGTCTGTGTACTTTGTGACATAAAGATCATGGGCAAAATTTGTTGCATCATGCGTACATGCTAAGTATCTATTAAGCAAAGTAATGTGTGTCTATATATACTTACCAAGCAGGCTAATGGCAAGACAGGGAATCCAATACGTCGAGACACTACAGGTGATTGATCCACAAAGGCATGGTGCTTACCACTCATTCGACCAGGACTACCAATCACAAGATCCTTACAGAGCACATCAATGTATTTACCATAAATACTAGGACGGATCTGATTAAATTTTGTGATAAAAGCATGTTTGAGCCAATCGACCATCAACTCAGATGCAATCACCATCAAGACAGGTGTCATGAGTGTATTGAGTGAAGTTGAAGCAGGTAACTTAAACAGGGGAACAAAGGTAGAAGGTAAAATAGAAGAAGGACCAGATTCAGACAGCTCAATCACATTGCGCAAAGTAATGATAAATAAGAAGGCACACTGTTGAAAGCGTTCTACTACATCTATATTCCATAGTTAACCCTTCTTCTTTCTATGAATAAGAGTCTTTGTTACCTGCACAAGTTAATTGGAACAAGTTTTCTTTTTCAAATCGCTTAAAGACAGAAGCTTTAATTTCGACAAACTGATTTGAAATTAATAAAGACAACAACGCATTGGAATAAAAGTTGATGGCCACATTCAAGGTAATCATTTGAAAGAACAATACCATTGTGTGGACAGCTATGAAGAGGAATAAACATGTGTATAAATACTGTAGTCACTTACTCATGTAGCCTGCTGCTAAAATAAACAGAGTGATAGGCTTCAATTGTCTTTTAGCATAAGCAGCATTTCCCATCCCTTGCTCAGGCCGACCCAATGTAGATTTTGAAAACAAAGCGTCCAAGATATCCACACCCACAGAACAACATAGTTTATCGCATATTTCCAATACATTAAAAACTACATAAAGCTTCAAGACTGCTTGTCCACGAATGGAGTGATAAATACGAGAAGGATCAAAACTACACATAATGATACAAGTGATAATAATCAAGAATCCCTTCAATAAATCACATTTCTGTGAAGACCTTAACCTAACAAATCTATAGACAATCAACAAGACTTGCATCTTTTCTTTTAGAGACTTACTCTTGTCGTCGACCCAACAAGGCTTGAATGTTGTGCAATATATACATGATATAATGATAAAATGCTAAGCAGAATCTAAAAGGAAGGATAGTAAAGGTATATAAAAACGAATCCAGACAGACAAAGAACCCAAATCCCATTAACTAATATATAAATATATGTACTGCCCCATCATTATGTGCTTACCTTTTCAATGGCTCCAGGCACAGCTAAGAAATTGGTAATTCTTTCTCGTTTCAATTCTTGAGTACTATCAAAATCAGCCACTGTCAATTCATCTTTGAGATAGTCCAAAAAGGATATCTGGTTTAAAGAAGACGAGGACGAGGACGGCGAAGAAGAAGTTAAGGATTCATCTGCGATGTTTGTGATGCGTAATCCTTCCAGTTGTTGTGTAGGCACTGTTTGAGATGCATCCCAGTCTGTGATCTCGTTTGATAAAGGCGATTTGCCTGCTTGTAAATGAGATGTTCTCTTTCTTTTCTTTTTCTTTTTGATAGAAGATGAAGGGGGTGGTGATAAAATATCAAAGTTATTTGTGTTGATAGGTGTAGCAGGAACTGAGGTCGCCTTTCTTTCAATTGCTATTTTTTGTCTAAGTTTGGGTGTTTCCACCCATTCACTATTGAGCGAAAACTTTTTGATTCGAGTATCCATAGAGAATAAGAGAAAAAAACATGCAAGAATATGGACTAGTCCATTTGATTGGACAAATTCATAGACTGAAAATGAATTGACACGTAGTTGACTTTGTGATAGCATTAGAGATCAAATCACTTGTTATAATGTAATAGCCAAATATCAAGTATAGAAACAAAGAAAAAAAAAGCGTCGAGATACTTAACCAGTATATTATCTGAAATCTTGGTTTCTGAAAACGCAAGGTGTAAAAAGAATTGCAACAAGAGAAGTATACATATGATAATCACTTTTTTGCAGTCATAAAATGCCATTAGTTTCATTAGATCATGTAAAAAGCAATTGTACTTGCTGAAATAAATATACATCTTTTAGCGAAAGAATGTGTAAATCCTTTTGGTACATTGACTTAACTGACGATCCATCAAAGGAGCGGACAAATACACACGTTTGTATGACCATACAAATGTAACATAAAGCACTTCTGTAAGCTTACAAATACTCTACATGTTCAAAAATCATACTTACTGACAAACCCGGTGCCTTTGGAATTGATTCAAACCAAAAAAAAAGCGACTTGTAAAAAATGGTCATTTTCGACTCTGATCCAAAGAGTACTACTCATGGAAAAGGCTAGTTTGACAAATCTTTGATCTTCTTTTTGATATTATAGAGCTATCAACCAGATTAAATACTTGAAATGACCGTCAAAAGCTACAGTTTTTGGTGAACATATTTGTTTGTCAATTGTATTGTCTGTTTGCTCAATACTTTAGGAACAAAGCTAATACTTTCTCTACAGCAATAGACTTGCAAAGGCAATAGCTGTAACTTTTGTCACTACACCAAAGCCCAATAACTGCGTCTTTATGCAGTTCTCAGCAAAAAGTCGATTTTGGATGCGACGGGAAGAAGAATTGGAATCATTCTATTTCAAACTTCGTGTGTAGTCATCCTGTATCTCTTTTCTCCGTTTGCTCTCACTTTTACACTATAAGATAACCATGTTTTTATTCCTATATGTTATTTAATACTTTAAATGACATAGTATGCTTCAGAAAGATTTGTTTCTAGTACATTTATATGACACACAGGGCAATAATGCTCAAAACACTGTTTAAATGCACTATTCTTTGATGCATTACGACTCGACAACCAGACTACTAAAATGGCCTCTTTTTTCATTTAAGACATGTTTGGAATCAAGGAATCAAATGGTACCATTTGTTTGACTGTTTTTCGAGATTCATTTTTTTTGGGTCATGGAGGATCACGAGAGGTCCGTGAAGATGAAAAAAACAAAACTCGATCGAGGATTTTTGGCATGAGCCAATGTAGGCCTGATCCAACCGAAATGAGGAAAGACGATGTCTATGTATTTCTAGCAAAAATAAGGCGAATTAATTTGAACATTGCCTTCAAATTTGCATTCAAAGTTCATTATACGCTGTGGATGATATGAAAGAGGTCCATTTCAATAGATATTGACCAGTAAATGAGTGCTTTTAGTACCATTCGATGTGAAAATATAAGCGAGCAAACTTTACTATGATACTTGACATTCTTGAGGTCAAAAAAGAACAACTTTGAACACGACAAACAATGGATGCTATGTAAAATAAGAGTTACTTGTGCTTGGCTTAGGCCAATACCTGTTTTCTCTAGGGGGTATACCTGTAGCCAAACTTGTCGAAATGTTCACTACGAGTATTCTAGGTTAAGCTTTTGTGTTTAGTGTATAGCGAAACACAGTTGGAGCGTAGAGTACCTGATATTTTAGTCCATTCTGAGCGGTTTTTAAATAAGGTAAATTAGTTGTTTTTTTCTCTTTCACCATGCTACCCTTACATCGTACAATGAAGAGTGGTAGCCGTGATTTTTATGATGATGATAAATATGAAAAACTAGCTCATCATAAGAAATGTCAAGTAAAGTGAACACATACCAAAATCGCATGCTTATTCTATGTAATAGCCCTTTAAGAAGAGCAAAAAAGTGTTTGTATTGTTTGGTATCTTGTCTATCTCTGCTGTTTATTACTTGTTCTGTTATAAGCCTTCATATCAGGCAATCAGAAAACCTGAGTCACCCCCTGTAATCACATATGAAGAAGAACAAACTGTTATAACTGATGAAGATCTCTTTTCATCGCCTTTTCTGTTTACACAATATCCTCCACCTAAACAGCTTCGCCCTCAAGACGAAAAGACAGCCTTTCGTCAAAAAAAAATTGTGGAAGCATTTCAACATGCTTGGAAGGGATATGCTCAAGATGCATTCGGTATTGATGAATACCAGCCACTCACTCATAAGGGGCATAACTGGGCTCCAGGAGGTGTTGGATTGATGATTGTGGATGCCTTAGATACCATCATGCTCATGAATCTCACTGACGAGTATCAACAAGCACGTACCTGGATACAAAATCATCTTGATTTTAACAAGGATCAAGATGTCAATGTGTTTGAAACGACCATTCGTGTCTTGGGTGGTCTTTTGTCTGCTTATCATCTCTCTAACAATGATCCCTTATATCTCGAAAAGGCAGTGGATCTTGGTGATCGATTATTACCAGCATTCAATACAGAATCTGGTATTCCCATCTCTGGTATTACCCTCTCCAACGGTATTCCTGTGGGTTATGGTGCCAGTAGTACAGCTGAAGCTACTACAATTCAATTGGAATTTAAGTACTTGAGCCATTTGACGGGAGATATGAAATACTGGAATGCAGCTGAGAAAGTCATGGAACGTATGAATGAACTTGTCATGTCAAAAGAGACGGGAGTCATTGATGGCCTGGTGCCCATCTACATTGATCCTCACTCTGGTAATTTCGCTTCTCGAGAAATCCGTCTTGGTTCCCGTGGCGACAGTTACTATGAATATTTGTTGAAGCAATACCTTCAGACAGACAAGTCGGAAATTAGATATCGTGAGCAATACGATCATGCTGTGGATGGCATTAAGCAACATTTGATTCAACACAGTTACCCTAACAAACTGACTTATATTGCAGAGCTTATGGACAGTTCAAGGCCTTCTGAGATCCATCCCAAAATGGATCATTTGGTATGCTTTATGGGTGGTAGTTTTATGCTGGGCGTGACAGAAGGATCGTTTATTGAAGAACTGGATCCCTTGGATAAAAAGGATTCTGAAGATTATCTTTTGGCACAGGAAATTACACGCACTTGCTACGAAATGTACAACATGACAGCAACAGGATTAGCGAGTGAAATTGTTTATTTTAATACGGATCCTACTAATCAAGGACTTGATATGGATATTCATGCAAGAGATCGACATAATTTATTGCGTCCTGAAACACTCGAAAGTTTATTCTTGATGTATAGAATGACAGGCGATGAAAAGTATCGGTAAGATCACACTATCTTTCAGTAACAAGATGACTTATCGTTCTATAGTGAATGGGGTTGGAAGATATTTGAATCCTTCGAGGCACATACGAAATTGAAAGACGGCGGCTATGCTGCATTAAAAGATGTTACAGTTATTCCTCCACCTGCAGACAATCGCATGGATACATTCTTTTTGGTAAGTAGTTGGATATGACATATGCATCGTTAACATAGTCTTAGGCCGAAACATTGAAGTACTTGTACCTTCTTTTCAGTCCTGACGATATTATACCTTTAGAAAACTATGTACTCAACACAGAAGCACACCCTTTGCCTGTCTTTACTCCCAATTTCTTAAAATAAACATAGTACAACAATGTGGGGAAAGGATTTTCATGTGATTGGTTTCTATGGTTCTCTTGTTTCCCACGGCTTGAGAATGATTCTTTTTGTACGCGGGGTAATCAGAAAATGATTACACATATCTTCTTCCCGTTCCTTTTTTTTAAAAAAAAAAAAAATACGAAACCCATGCAACCTAAAGCACCATCTATCAAAACTGTTTCTTTAAAGACATCCCATATTAACCGAAACGAACAAAGTCTAGATTATGCGATACGATCAGGTCTTGCTGGTGGCATAGCAGGCTGCTTGGTAAAATAACTCATAATTGGTTCTGATACTTATAATGGATAGGGAAAAACAGTAATTGCACCTTTAGATAGAGTCAAGATTCTTTTTCAAGCAAGAAATCCAGTGTTTGAAAAATATTCTGGTCGGTTTACAGGTGTATTTGAAGCAGGCAAAGACATTTTCAAAAGAGAGGGTCTGCTTGGTCTCTTCCAAGGCCATTCTGTCACCCTCGTTCGTGTCTTCCCCTATGCAGCAATCAAATTTGTAGCTCTTGAACAGTTTCGATCAATCTTGATGCCTACAGCAGAACTCAGGAACTCGCCTCGTCGTCACTTTATAGCAGGATCCATGGCAGGCATCACATCTGTCTTGTTTACTTATCCACTGGACCTTGTCCGTGTACGCATGGCTTATGAAGTCAATCGGCAGGGCGTATGGGCAACATATACAAAAGTTTACCGAGAACCCGCAGCAGCTCCACTATTGAATTTTTATAGAGGATTTTTACCAACTGTGGTAGGTATGACACCGTATGCTGGTGTGTCCTTTTGGTTTTATCATCTTGCTACACGATTTTTTCGGCATAATCCATGGGTAACACCCTATACGCGTGTTTCGATGGATCATTATGGAATGGAGAAGCCCCCTTTGAAGACATGGGCAGAATTATTGTGTGGTGGATCAGCAGGATTAGTTGCTCAGACAAGCAGCTATCCATTAGAGGTAGGTGTTTTCTGATGTGAGTGAAATGCAAGAAATTGACTGTTTCTTATTAGATTATTCGTAGAAGAATGCAGATTGGGGGTTTATTAGATCCCAATAGATTTGTGAGTTTCAAAGACACGGTCAAAGACATTTACCAAGCTAAAGGAATCAAGGGATTCTTTGTTGGACTCACAATTGGTTATATAAAAGTGATACCCATGGTTGCTATTGGCTTTTTTGCTTATGAACGTATGAAGCAAGTATTAGACATTGAATAAAAAGTTACCATAATATATATATATATATATATTTTCCCGAAATGACAGAAGTCACAAGAGAGAAAAATTTTGCTATAGATCATGAAAAAAATTGAAAAGTCCCTTTCTCTTTCTCTCTTTTTACAATGAAGTATCTCGCCTCCTACCTTCTTCTCGTTGCCGGTGGTAAAACCTCTCCCTCTGCCGCTGATGTCAAGGCCCTTATGGCTTCTGTTGGCGTTGAAGCCGAAGAAGAACGTTTGACCTCTTTGATCTCTGCTCTTGAAGGCAAGAACATTGAAGAGGTACAATCTTTTATCTAGTTTGCATATACTCACGATTTGATAGCTCACTGCTGAAGGTTTGGAAAAGATGTCCTCTGTTCCTACTGGTGGTGCTGTTGCTGCTGCTGGTGCTGCCTCTTCTGGTGCTGCTGCTGATGCTCCTGCTGCTGAAGCCGCTGCTGAAGAAAAGGAAGAATCTGACGATGTAAGTTATAGTGCAAAAAAAAAGGAAAACAGAGTCTAACATATCGATATAGGATATGGGTTTCGGTCTCTTTGACTAAACAATTATCACCATGCGTAATAAATAACACCTTGCTTCTTATTTTTTTCCGTGCTGTGTGTTGAACAAAAGAGTGATCAATGGACAATTTTTTTCTAGAATAGACACCTTTCTTATTTTCGAGACGAATGCATGTCAAATTGATCTAAGTTGATGAACGAAAGGACCAGACGATATTGAAGCAAGTTTAAATCGAGAAGAAAAAGATGCTTGATGATGACAAAGACATATGTCTTGAAAAAGAAAGCTAACTGCTTCTTTCGTCAATTTGCTGTACATAATTTGATGCTCGCCCAACTTTATTGAAATGAATACTGACTGAGAATCCTCAACCTTCCAGTGAATATATATGGTAGAATGCTACTTTACCATTGATTTTTTTATGCTAATAAGTCAATTTCGCGTCAAATAACGATACTATATTATCAAGCGTCTTCATTATACACTTTCGAGGTTTTCTTCACATGAGTTAAATCAAAATGTCCTGTTTACTGTTATAAATAAAGCATGAAAAAGCCCTCTACTCTTCAATCGCAAAAGGAGGATCAAGTTTACTAAGGTTTTAGTAGCTATGTACAATGAGACGTAGAAAGAGCGTAGAGGAATGTGATTGGGTAATCGGGTTTTAGTAGGAAGCATTTGAATAAAAAGTTACAATCACTACAGAAAAGGGCTAAAAGGCACATACAGTGCATTCAAGGACAGAAGTAAGTCCGGCAAGGGAGTGTACCTCGGCTTGAAGAAGTGCATCAGAGAAGATCCGGACCGGACTCTATAAATTCTAGAGATTATATATGCTGTTATTGTCTTACCCTTTGACGCAAATAATAGCGTTTCTGAACAAAGACAGCCAATCGAGGTTGGATACAACCTTCCTCTAGGTATAATCCAGATAAGAGGTTTTAACTTGATTAGTTTTTGTCTGAAATTTTTATTATACATAGTAAATTTTGACAACTCCCTCTCTTTCCCTTTGTGTTTACCTTGAACGACGAGACCAACAAATAAAAGAGATAAACCAATAATTAACAACAGAAGACTGTAAAGACTATTGTAATTATAGAGAGATAGACACAAATAGAGAGATTATAACCTTAGGCACAGTTCCTTCAAAAGACAATGAAGATATATGTAAAAGAAAATTTATAAAAAAGTTTCGATTATTAAAGATTAATTTCTTGATATTTTTTATTCCTTCTAAAGTTCTTTAAGCTTTTATACTTTCTTTAGAATAAATTTCTACAAAGACAATTGCTTGTCATTAATCTAGAACAGATCAAACTTGCCCAAAAACAATCACGTTTGAAATGTCAAACAGGAGAACAATTAATACAATTAAATTATAAAATTCAACAGATTCAAACTGAGATGAACTGTCAAATACAATAAACAAAAAAATAAAATAAAATACACAATTAAATCACAGCAAAATATCATGAAACAAAATACGGAAGAAGTAGGACAAATAAGGAACCCAAAAAAAAAGTACAACAATTGAGACCCAGACCCAACAATTGACACACCGATCAGTGGTTTTGACTCGAATCTGATTGGGTCTGACAAAAGACAGAACCATTGGCAGAAATCTTTGGAACACCATTGTACCATCAGACCTAGACCAAATCACACCAAACTTTTGTATGTACTTTAAGGAACATCAGAGACATGTACCATTCCAATTTGAAGATTTGTTAACATAATAAAATCACCAGAAAAACCGCGAAAGAGAACGAAGAAGCGAACCAAAACAAACATGCACACATGACAATTTATTAAGGGGGGTTAGCTTAATTGGTAGAGCGTCAGATTCCAAATCTGAAGGTCAAGAGTTCAATTCTCTTACTCCTCATCTTTTGTTTTTCTTGTTTATATCTCAAAGCAACTGATGCAGAAGTTTTTTTCCTTATTGATAAAATCCTAACATTTGACTTATTGTTGCTACTGTTACCGCCAGGGCTTGATTTTTATACCGATGTTACAGGACAAAGGTAGAGATCGCAGTAACTTGTAGATATATAAAACAATAAATATAACAGTGCCATAGGCAGCAAGTTATATGTAATGAGCATCAGGTTTCAAGTCGTTCGACTATGTTATTTGTATAAGTAAGAGAAGATACAAAGATACAGTATAATATAACGTATAATGATCAAATGTAATACAAGATCAAGGGACCCAATTAGACAAATGATATGATAATAGTCTAGTTTAAAGTATAGGACAGTACAAGTAAGGTACAATTGTAAGTCTAAGGTAAAAGTATGGATTAGATGTCTCTATTTAAGCTGAATTGTTCTAGTATTTATATCTATTCTAAAATAGTCATGTTGGACTTGCAGAAGTGGTACGACATGTAAAGCTTTTGCTGACTAACGAGTAAAATGAGCAATGGGTGCTAAAGTCTAATGTGATATAGAGTAATACAATAATTGGGATTCAAAGTAGAAGAATAAGATATGTGACACAAGTAACTGTCAGAATATAGATATGAAATAATGAAATCTAAAATATAATATGGAGATAGTCATTTCGTAACAATGTAGAAGAAATGTTACGATGATCTTTTTTCAAAAATCATATAGATAATTAGGCCAAAGACACTACATTGTTTTAATTCAAAAAGTCCCTTGTTTGCTAGGCCTGTATCTATTGTTGAAATAGTCAAAGCTTTCTCACTTTGTCCCAAGAAAAGTAGTCATAATTTAGATCGCCCAGCACACGCCTTGGCTACGCTGCTTGTCGTCTATCCTGCTTGTCAAAAAATAGTCTCGTGGGTCTATAATGATGCGCTCCTATTGAGTCTATTTCCTTCCTCTTGGCTAGCAACACTCATTAGCCTTTTGCTTAGGAAAGGAGACTTGTCTGATTTGCGTAACTGGCATCTGATTTTACTAAATTAATATCCAAGTTTTCACCTAAACTCTTAAGCTTCACCTCTTCATTACGATAGACAACCTTATTTATCCTTATCAATCTCGATTTGTTCAGGACAGAATCATTGCTGACAATAGCCTGTTAACGAAAGTTTTAATGGACCATGCTCATGCCGCCGGCTCTCCTGCCATCGGATCAAGAGGACATCTATGCGCTCCTTTTCTGCTCCAAGTAACACCAAAAGGGCCTCATCTTTCACCAGTCTTTCAAAGACATAAATGATAGCAAAGCGACCCATTCTTTCCTGGTAACCAACCATATCTGAAACAATCAAAGGACGCCGCTATTTATTTCTCAGAGTATTGTTTATTAAATGACATTTACATATGGGATATACAAAACGGTTACCAACCGGTTACATTTTTGTGTCTATCTTCCAAAAAATTGAATAGAGACCCAGGTTCCTTTTTCCACTGATTGTGCCAATGGTAAGCAAATGTCTGCAACAATCTCTCTTGGTTGAATTCAGTTTCAATAAAGGCATTAGGCATTGAGTTCTTGGGTGAACACACCATGGAGTCTGTGAAGCACCAAGGCAAGACAGACCAAGGACGAATGCCATGATGCAATAAGCGACGATAGACACGATAATACATGTATCCTCCCCAATCAATCGTGTCAGGACGAGGCAGAGGGCCTGAGGCTAATTCACTCAACATTTCACACAAATAAGGTGATTTTTTGTAGAATCGCATAAAAGCACCATTGAATGGAAATCCATTAGGCAAGAAGCAATCCCATTGAGAAAGCCATTCATGTTCTAGAAGTGGACCCATATCACGAATAAAAAGACTGTCCATATCAAACCACATACCGCCATAACGATAGATAGCCAAAAGTCGAATCAGATCACCGTCAAGATAACCACTATCGTCTTTGAACTCTAGATGTGAGGATCCTTCCATAGGAGATCCTTTAGCGAGTTCAACAGGGTCATATAACATGATCTGAAGACGATCGCCGACATAGCTTTTGATTTGCTTAATCACAGGTGAAGGAGATAGGTCTCCATTAGACCAAAGATATAGCACAGTTGTGTTTGGGTTTTGTGTAGCAAAGAAAGAACGCAGAGTAGCTAGTTGCTTAGGTCCTACAGGAGCAATGTCTGCTCTCCAGTAGGCATGATAGACAGTCTTTTCTTCAAGTGGTGACATGGGCTGTTTGAAAGGTTTGGTGCGGATAGTAGCTGCAAAATCATAGCAATCGTAGTCTTCCATTAAACTGATACCTGGTGCTACATCATATGTATATTCTCTGACACCATTCTTGTATGGACTGTTCTCAGGTAGTTTATCGAAGCATCCAGCAAGAGGTTGATAGTAAGCATCGTCAGCATGGGAGATCCAGTTTCGAAGATACACACGAACATTGAGTTGAAGTTGGCAAATAGTGAAGAATGAGATCACAACAAGAGCTATGCACAAGATGGTGTATTTTATAACAGTGATTATGCGCCATCGTTTAGGTCTTATGAAAGTAGATGGACTGGGTAGTCTCGTATATGCTGCACTTCTACCAAACAAGTTGGAGAACATTTTTTTTTGAGAGAAAAAAAAAAAAAGGGAAAGTGAATAAATTACAGCCAGATCAAATCAGAAAAATCCCCTCGCTAGTATTATTCGATTAAAACAAGCCTTTTCGCTATATACTCGGTCTGAAGAGGAAAATCATTTTGTTTAAATTGTCTTGGCATTATAGTCAAAAGGAAATACCAAGCATTTTTATCCTTTTTTTTTGGAAGGATTCTAATGTATGGCTTTTAATGCACTCAACAACTATAAGCTCAAGAAGACTTTGGTTAGACGCTTCATCCAAAATGGCTTTTTCAATGATTTCTTAAGCAATTTGATTTTTATGTAAAGACTGGATACAGGAACGCATGTTCGTTGTAGGATCTCTGTAGGAATTTGAAAAAAAAAAAGACGGGCACCCGTTCCACGAAACAAAAAGGCAGAATGTTTACTATTGCAGTTCCGCTCTTCTTTATCTCCTTTATACTTTCCTTAAACAAAAAAAAAAATGAAAAGCAACGTACAGTTCGACCAGGGCATTATGAGGTTGTCTGCTTATGATCCTCTATCTGATCAATATGAAACGCGCGTGCTCACTTTACCTCAACTGCCCTCGTTTGAATCCTTGGAACACCTATTTAACGAAGATCCTATTAAGCCTTTGCGTATGACCAAGTCCTGCTGCCACAAGTCCTCTACAGAGCAACTGCGTATACGCAGATGTCAATCAAACCCTAATTTTACTCAGCCCACATTGTATCCCGTCAAGCCCAAGAAAGGTAAAATAATAGCAAGAGACTGCTCATTATTCACACTCTTTATTTATTTAGGCGGTGGACCTATACGTACCAAAAGATCACTGTTCCATGCTTTTACAGATTTTATACAAAAGGCAAATAAAAAGATTCGACCTACAAAGAAAGATGTCTGGACTAAAGAAACAAAATTTGACGAACTTCGATTGTCTTCAGACTCTAGTATTTCAACACTTCAGCTTGTCCAACCTTCCATTTCACACTCTTCTTTATTACTTGAGAATTGGTGGTTGTCTAGTCCACCTATCAGTGCTCATTAATCTCCTACAGAAAAAAGAAAAGCATTTTCATTGTTATTTATAAGGCATCTATACATTCATTCATTGTTCTTTTTATGTTCCCCTTCTTTCCTTTCTTTTCTCTCTTCCCCCCTTTTTTTTATTGTATTAAAGAACCATTTATTTCTTATGTTTTATTATACAACTTCATATCGTAATAAAGATATCTTCCTACCTTCACCACGAACAAAGACATCTGTTCTCCTAGGCAAAAATCCTCTTGGTTTTAAAGGACTGGATAGCTTTCTATGTCGCATCATATTCAATTCTGCTGAAATCATGCGTAAATGATCTGGATTTGATCGGGTATCCCGTGTATAAGTATTGGTTTCTGGATTAAATCGAGGTTGTGTAGTGGCTTCTGAACGTCTTTTTTTCTTTTGTTTTAGAGGAGGAGGCGGTAATGGCACAATCTTTCTATTAAGTGTCAACGAACGTCGTAATTGAGCTATGGTGTCTTTCCAGCGATTTGTGTGTTCTTCTGTGGGTGGTGGTGATATTGCATAGGAAGTTGTGGTGGATGTGGAGGGTTCGTGCGACTTGGAAGAAAATGAAGGTATGGAGATCTTTTTTTTTAATGTCTTGTTGGATCTATATTCCTCTCCTTCCTCTCCTTCCTCCTCCTCCTCCTCCTCCTCCTCTTCTTCTTCTTCTTCTTCTTCTTCCTCATTGTCCTCTTCCTCTTCTTCATCGTCTGTTATCACTGAAGAATATATAACAGGTTGATTTTTACTGAGTGAAGGTGGTGGCATATGCAAAGGTAATACTAAAAAATTGGCTAACAGAAAGTTACTTGAAGGTGAAGAATAAACCTAATAGTAATTAATAAAAGTCACAATGACTCTTGTAGATCATGTACCAAGTCTTGTTCATCCGGTAAGCTTTCTTTACTATCGACTGCTATCCAATTCTCTACATGGTCTAGTGCTGGTTTTTTCTTTTTCTTTCTTTTTATACGTGGGGGAATAGCTCCATAAGGCTCTGGTGCTTGTGCTGCTAATTGCTTTATCATGTCTTTGTAGCTTGGCGTAGTATCGCTTGCCTTTAATTGTAAAGAAAAAGACATTTTTTTTTTAGGAAAAAGAAAGAGAGAAAGCGGGAATACAAATAAACAAAGAAAAAAATTATGCGTTTTTGAAATTCCTCACATGAATTGAAAATGACATAAATGACGAGACAAGTTCTGCCTCTTTATACTAATCGTATTATCACTTGAACAAGCCAAAAGGCGAACTGACGATATAAAGTTTTGATCTGCCTGATTTCATATGGTATGGTTATGATCTGTTAAAAAGAGTCAATTAACACCACTTTCATAAATGACGTACATTCTACTACTAAAAATGACATTGTGAACTGATTTTTTGTTTTGAATATATTTTGGCCTTTTTTTTTTTTTTTTTAGGAATATTCTGTAAATAATTTCAATGCCATCATATTTATGCAACATGTTGTGTTCCTTTTTGAAAAGTGAGTATTAAGATAGCACACGATTCTTTTTCTCGATGGCTTTCAAAAAAGAGAGAGTGAAAAAGGCAGAAAACGTTTGTTTGTACTACACTGCAAGAAGAAACAAGGTTGCATTGCATTTTGAGAATCAGTGTTTGATTTTGTAGTAACCAAATAATGCTAATGATTTAAGTAAGAAAAAAAAATGATGTGTGAATTTTCTTTTCTTTTTTTCTTTTCCAAAATGTTTGATATATTTTCTGTTACAAAAGACAAGGACGAAAAAAGTAAAAAAAAGTAAAAACCTATTTTGACATACTAAATATACATAGTAAAACAACAAGTAAATGCTTATATTGAAAGAAATCCCAATGAATTTTTAAATCCTGTTCGAGATAATGCAGCACAAGATATAGTATGATTTTTATTTTATTTTGTTTATTTTTATTCAACAACATACCTTAGGCCTCTTGTTCAAGTCTTGAAACATGTTGGTCTAGCTTACTAACCTTGAATAAATCAAGGTTTATGAACGGTTGGAAACCTAGCTGCCATCAGTATGATTCACTCTATGATCAACTGTTTGATCATTATTTTCATCATTATTCAAATGAGATACAACAGTTTGTTGAAAAGCATTCTCATTTGACATGGTTTGTACCTAAATGGTTTGAGCATTGCCAACCATTACCTTCAGGAAGAATGGGACAAGTGTACCTTACAACTTATCATTACAAGAAGCTTATGGTTCGAGAACTTAATATGTGCATGATTACACATGTAAAGTATAGTCGACATCTCTCTGTCTCTTATTTGTTTTTTTTTCTTTAGGAAATCGACCAAATCTACAATTTACCTAATGAGCTGCTTGGAATCACAGCCACTCGTCGAAAAGGACAACACCATCATTCGCTTGCATTTGTCTATTTAGCTGCACAAACATCACTCGAACACCTTATTCCTCAAGTCGATCAATGGTCATTTCAAAAAATATTTAGAACAGCACTTGCTATTGCTTCTGTTGTACGAGATGCCAAACTAGTCCATCCGAATCTTCAACCGCATAATCTTTTATTGTTTCAAAAGTGGTCTCTTGTCGATAATTGGTCTATGGCAACCACCATGTCCCCTTATTATGGCCGATACCCTTACATTGCACCTGAAGGAACCCTCACTTCATCCTCCAATGTCTACTCGCTGGGTGTGATCTTATGGCAGCTGGCATCAGGCATTGTCTTTCCTCAGTTCAATCTCGTATCACCTGAGATTTACCGCATGTTACCCGTGACAGAAATCGATCCTGCTTATACCCAACTGGTACGTGCCTGTCTTTCAAAATCATCTGAAAATCGACCTTCACTTGATCAGGTGTGTGATACACTGCTTCATATCTTGTTATCTGAAATGTCGCGTCCATGTCATGATAAACAGCTACATGCGTATAGTGTCAAACAGCGTCAGTTAGCCGCAGCAAAGTATTTGGCAGGATGTCAAGGGTCATCGTTGGATATTCAAGAGTTGCTAGTGGGTGCTTCTATGTCAAAGCGAATGATGTTTCAGGTGACTGTATCCTATGAAAGATACAAAAAGCCAACGACAACGACGGCTATCATACCCAAGCAAGAAAAACAGAACAGGACTCATCCTACTTACCATGACACTCACGCGTGTCATTATGTATATAGCAATGATTTGAGTGATTTGATTCAAATGGGCTCAGTTGCATGACAATCTTGTGCGTCTACTATATTGAATTACAATAACCATCGTATGAGTTTATACCATAAAAGAAAAAAGAAAAAAAGACATGATCTCTTTGCAGGCTTTATGACATATAGTGCCTGAATTAGCATATAATTAAAGTCTAATCATTTAGTTTTATTCAAGCATTTCTTGGTTTCTTTGCCATTCTGGCTAAATGATCTTCTTTAAGTTGTTGCGACTGAGGTGCTCCTGTTTTAGACGACTTGATATCGTTGTCTTCCTGCGTAATACGACGCAAAGGATACTCAATGTTTTGTTGTGCAAGTACACTTATAGTACATGACGATTAGATAACATAAGACCACTACGTTTACTTACTTCATGACAGGTTTAGGATCTTCTTGGAAATAAGGATGGTTTAGTGCTTTTTCTGCAGTGATGCGTTTCAATGGATCATATTCTAGCAGTGCTGATAACAGATTGAATCCTGCTTCTGTTTTTATACATGGCATATCATTGTATACTTGTTTTAGTCTATTCGAACATCTATATTCATACAGTTTTAGTGTCATACAGTCTATTGGATAATCTTACTGAGGAAAAGAGCTTAAATGATGAAAATCAGGCAATTGGTCTATCGTAGGCCATCGTTCCTCTAATAAACAACATCAGACTATATTCTAGTAAGTATGTCTATCCATACTTGTAGGTGTGCCCATGATCTCAAATATCTTGCTTAGTTGACTTCGCTGAAAGGGTACATTCTTTTTGCCATCCATCTTTGCCTCTTCACCTTTGAAAATCGGCTTCAAAGCTAGTAATTCTCCAAAAATACAACCTACTGCCCACATATCAATGGCTTTTGTATAATGCCTTGAGCCAAACAATAATTCAGGAGCACGATACCAAATGGTGACAACAACCTTGTCACCATTGAATAAAGGCTGTAATGGCTTATTAAACAATCTCGCAAGACCTAAATCACCGGTTTTTACAACACCTTCACTTGTTAAAAGGACTATACATATACGTTGGTCTTATTTTTGTTCTCCACAGCATTGTCTTACCATTCGCAGGCTTCAAGTCTCGATGCAACACCCAATTTGAATGCAAATAAGCAACACCATTAATCAATTGCCACAGTACTGACTTGATCACGATTTCTTGGATTGGCTTTCTTTCTGTGTGTAAATGGTAATGAATGATTTGCTATATAGACATTAGTTCTTTCTATATATCCTTCTGAATTGACATACCAAGAAGTCATGCTCTGCATATTCAAATACCATATAAATAGCCTTATCTTCCAACAAGACCTCTTCTAGTGAAACAATATTTTCGTGTTTTAATTCTCTACAAAGCTTAAACAACATAAGCGGTATGTCTTATACAAGTGTCCTTATTTACTGCTATTTCTCTACAGGCTGATTGAGAAATACCGACATAATGATGTGTATCTCCTTCTCTATCTGGTTTAAACTTTTTGATGGCAAACTCACGAGGATCCTCTCTATATATGATGAGTAAGAAAGGAAAACTCAATACGTGATTACTTGTTTCTCGATCTTGCTTTATAGACTCGACCATAAGTACCAGAACTAATGAATCCAATAATTTCATATTTATCGAGTACTTTAGGACGACTGGCATCCCTTTTAAGCTTATATTCTGTCATGGACATGGTACATAAAAGAAAGAAACAAATAAAAAAAAATAGATTTACCACTGCATAATTTACTCTTCGGACCCTGTAAAACTTCTTCCCCCTCATCGTTTTCTTTTTGTTTTGTTTGACCATGAACTCTAGACATTTAGGGCGTATCTTTAGGCAAGCACTGCCTCATATAAACAAAAGACTATCCGCACAAACTCTTTGTCGAATTGTCTGTGCACGCACCTTGAACACGTCTCGATTACCAACACAACCACTGACAGTATCTCACACGCTCACAAAAAGTATACCTCAGCCTAAAGTAACGCACATACAAAAAAAAAAAAGAGAGAGAGATTAACACGACAATAGATATTTCATAAAGTCCTTGTTGCTAATCGAGGTGAAATTGCTTGTCGGATTATAAAGACATGCAAACGACTAGGGATCAAAACTGTAGCTGTATATTCTGATCTGGATGCTAATGCACTTCATGTCCAGCTGGCTGATGAAGCTGTCCATTTAGGTCCTGCTTCTTCTTCAGAATCGTATCTTTCCATACCACGCATCATGTCAGCAATCGAACAAACAGGGGCTGACGCAGTGCATCCTGGCTATGGGTTTTTGAGTGAGAATCCCACTTTTGTAAAGACACTGGAAGAGCATCACGTGGTGTTTATTGGACCAAGAGCATCTGCCATTGCAGCCATGGGTGATAAATTACAGAGTAAGCTTATTGCTAAAGCAAGTGGAGTGCATTGTATTCCTGGTTATGATGGAGAAGTCAAGGATATCAAGGAAGCAGTCAAGATTGCTCATGGCATTGGATATCCTGTCATGATCAAAGCAAGTGCAGGTGGAGGTGGGAAAGGCATGCGCATTGCTTGGTAATCATATGTTGTGTAAACGTCCTCTAGACTGACACCCCTCCAACAAATAGGAACGATGTAGAACTGAAAGACGGATTTAAGCTAGCAAAACAAGAATCCAAGTCTTCATTTGGTGATGATCGCATGTTGATTGAAAAGTATATTGATAACCCACGACATATTGAAATACAAGTGTTGGGCGATAATTATGGTCATGTCGTCTACCTGCCTGAGCGAGAATGCTCTATTCAGCGCAGAAATCAAAAAGTGATTGAAGAATCACCGAGTGTTCATGTAGACGAAATAACACGATGCAACATGGGCGAACAAGCTGTGGCATTAGCCAAACATGTTGGTTATAATTCAGCAGGCACAGTTGAATTCTTGGTAGACAGCGAGCGTAATTTCTATTTTCTCGAGATGAACACACGATTGCAGGTAGAGCATCCTATTACAGAGTACGTGACAAACCTTGATCTAGTAGAACATATGCTGTATTCAGCATCGAATCGCCCCTTGTCGCTGAACCAAGATCAGATTCAGTTAAATGGATGGGCTATGGAAGCCCGTGTTTATGCTGAAGACCCTAAGCTTTATTTGCCTTCCGTAGGCCGATTATTGACATATCAAGAACCTGAATCTGTACGTTGTGACTCGGGTTTTATTGAAGGGTCCGAAATGCATGTAGAATATGATCCATTGATCTGCAAACTAGCAACTCACGGTAACACAAGGCAAGAGGCATTACGAAAAATGTTGAGTGCTTTGGACGAATATGTCATTAAAGGTGTGACACATAACATACCTTTACTCCGAGCTGTCTTTGCTCATCCACGGTTCCAAGAGGGTACAAAGATCACCACACACTTTTTGGCCGAAGAGTATCCAGAAGGGTTCAAGACAGATCCGCTAAAGGCAGAACAAGTACAACAACTTGCTGCTGTATCAGGCGCATTATGGCTTAAAAAAGAGCTTCAACACTGGCAAGGACAACCTCCAACAGGACCCGAAGATATCTGGGTCAAAATTAAAGATGAGCAAAGCCAGCATGAATCAGAAACCAATATTCAAATTAAACAAAAGAACACAGATGAATTTCAAGTAAATAATTAGTAAACAGTTAGCTCATACTAACGATGTAGGCTTCAACACCATCTGATTGTTTGGATTTCTCAACAGAATGGCCCCTCAATAGTTTACTCGCACACGCCACAATCAACAAAAGTAAAAAGCTTGTCTTGCAATATTTGGATTCACTTATCATGGGATTCCGTATCCAATATCAAGGCAACCCATACCAGGTTACTATTTTGAACAACGACCAGTATCAATTGTTTAAATATATGAAATCAAAATCAGTGCTAGAACAAAGTAAGATAGTCCATAGCCCTATGCCAGGTCGAATTGTCAGCATTGCAATCAACGAAGGGGATGAAGTGACAGAAGGTGCAGAGCTTATTGTTATTGAGGCTATGAAGATGCAGAATATCTTGAGGGCACCAAGACTAGGTAAAATCAAACGAGTTCATGTTGGCATTGGCAAGACTGTCAAATCAGGTCAAGTATTGATAGAATTTCAAGATCAACCAGCCATTGTTATTTAGGTCGGAGATTCTATTGTATATATATATTGTTCTGTACAGTTTTTTTTTTTTTTTTACTCTTCTTCTTGTAATAATAATAAAAAAAGAAAAACTATGAAGTTTGGGCATACATTAAGAACCTCTTTAAATCCTGATTGGACCTATCACTATGTTGGCATGTATCCATAAATGATATCTAGTCCTTAACTAACTTGTGTTTATAGCTTATGATGATTTAAAAGCAATTTTAAAAAAGGAAGCTCTTGGTGGCGTCTGGTCAGAAGAAAGTGAAAGCAAGTTTGTCGAACTCCTTGAAAAAGAACTTGATAAAGTCTATACCTTCCAGCGCGTTAAGCTTGGTGAAATCAATCGACGCATTGAACAAGAAGCAAGAGAAGTCGATATTTTATGTCAATCCGAAAACCCCGAAGAAGATGAATTTACAGCCTCAGAAATTGAGTTGGGACACATTATTGCAGATGTTCATGATTTAGCAAAATTCACTCGTTTAAACTATACTGGATTTCTCAAGATCATCAAGAAGCATGATGTAAGTAAAAAGGCCAAAAATTTTTTTTTCAGATTGCGCATGCAGAAAGGTTATTCGTTTTGACCAATCATATTCTGCACGTGGGCATTGTTTGTGTTACTTGTATTAACAGGTTCAATAGAAAGTGACAGGATGGCCACTCAAGCCCATGTTTGGTGTTCGTTTAAATGCCAAACCATTTTATAAAGAAAACTATGATGCTCTGATCATTCGTATCTCTTCTTTATATGATCGTGTACGTACCAGAGGTAAAGAGCGTGTTGGTGACTCGGGTGCTGGTGGTAAACAATCTGCCTTTGTTAGAAATACAACCAAATACTGGTATGCTTCTCTTTGTTATATAAGCAGACATATGTGAACTTACTCTTACTGTAGGGTGCACCCTGATAACATTACCGAGCTCAAGCTATTCATCCTCAAGCACTTGCCCGTACTTGTTTTTAATCCAAACAAGGAATTTGAAACTCAGGACTCTGCTATCTCTAGTATTTACTATGACAATGACGATTTCGAGCTTTATATGGGTCGTTTAGAAAAGACAGAGGGTGCTGAGGCCATCCGTATGCGTTGGTATGGTGGTATGGACTCCAACACCATCTTTGTGGAACGCAAGACCCACCACGAAGATTGGACAGGTGAAAAGTCCGTCAAAGCACGTTTTCCAATCAAAGAAAAGTATTTGAATAGCTTCCTTCAAGGCAACTATACCACGGATGAACTCTTTGCTAAAACCCGGGAACAAGGTCGTAAATCCGAAAAAGAAATTCAAGAGCTTGAACAGCTTGCAGAAGAGGTTCAATACACTGTCTTGACAAAGCGTCTTCATCCTATGATGCGTACCTTTTATAACCGTACTGCTTTCCAATTGCCTGGTGATGCTCGTGTACGTATTAGTTTAGATACTGAATTGACTTTGATTCGTGAAGATAACGGTGATGGCCGTGTGCGTTCAGGCGATAATTGGCGTCGTATGGATATTGGTGTTGATTACCCCTTTAAGCAATTGTCTGAGTCTGACATATGTCGTTTTCCTTATGCTGTCCTGGAAGTCAAGTTGCAAACACATGTTGGACAAGAACCACCTCAATGGGTTGTTGAGCTGGTCAATTCACATCTTGTTGAATCAGTACCTAAATTTTCAAAGTTCATTCATGGCTGTGCTACTTTGATGGAAGACAAGATCAATGTGTTGCCTTTTTGGTTGCCTCAGATGGATGTAGATATTCGTAAACCTCGTACTAAAGTCATTGGTGTCTCTCGTCCTGAAGGACCTGGAAGTAGCTCTGTTTCAAATAGCAGCACACGTGGATTTGACGGATCCAAGTTAACGACAGACGAACATGTTCAACGCACTATGCGTGAAGCCACTGAATCAACACCTCTCATCGGCGACGGCAATTTTTATACCAATAACAAGAAAGATCAAAGCCTATTAAAACAGCTATCACCAGCTGGTCTGACGAAGCTTTTCAAGAAGTCTAAAACGGTCTTTATTAGAAAAGAAACACCTGCTAAACGTGGTCGCCCCATCCCTACTAAAGCTCCTCCCGCTAAGACCTACTTTGCAAATGAACGTACCTTTTTGCATTGGCTCAAATTTACTTTGTTGTTGGGTGGTCTAGCCATTGGTCTTTTAAACTTTTCTGACAAAGTAGGTCGTATTTCTGCTATGATGTTTACCGTTTTGTCCATGTCTGTCATGATTTATGCACTTTACAACTATCATAATCGTGCTGATAGAGTAGAACGAAATGAATTGGGCGACTTTTCTGACAAATATGGACCTGCTGTCTTGACTTTCTTTGTTGTAGCAGCTATTTCAATTAATATGTTCCGTAAGTGTTTTATGCGTTTATCTTGCAATTACTCATATACCTGTTCTTACAGTTCGTTTGACTATGGATAACGATAATTAAGAATGATAAACCTAGATCTCAATTATTATAATATCAAGACCGGAATTGAACAATTATACTGTTTCAATTACAAATACCAATTTGATATACTTTCTATTTTAAATAAAATAAAACCTGGGCTTTTATTACTTCTTCTAATGAATATTGGTTGGATTTTCTTTGTTCAAACCATGTCTAAAGACTATAGATCATCATATAGGGTGTTAGTCTAGCTTTATTGTCATTCATGCAAAAATTTTGAAGACTAGAGTCACTTGAAAATGTTCTTAACAAAAGATTGCAATAGAATCCTGATAATCATTATCATCTCTGTATTCTTTTCCACTTTAAATCATCTTACTTAGAGTTTAGTTAAACTAACATCATGGTTATCATTACATGCGATCGTTTCTTTCTCTGGATTCTATTGTGTAATATCACTGTTGAAAAAAAAAAAAAAACTACTTGTATATTGTATTAGCAAAAACATATAGTTTAAAATTTAAATACAGACATTGGTAATTAAAATTAAAAATATGAGGCTACCAGGGGTCGAACCTGGAATCTCCTGATTCGTAGTCAGACGCCTTATCCATTGGGCCATAGCCCTCATATGATTTTGTCGTAACAAAAAAAAGATTCAAGCCAACTCAAAAACCAAGGCGGTCACGTGACATCTCGAAGGTACAAGAAGGTTCTGGAAAGTAAAATGCTAGAAGGTTCTAGACAGCAAGTCACTTGATTACTAATCTCCGATTAGTAATCATGGTTCCGGAACCTTCCACAACTTTCTTATTTTCTTTATAGAATTATCCATATTACTTGGTAGAAAAGTATAAATATAAGATCATCGTTATTCAATAAAGAAATCAATTAATTATCTCTTTACTCTTAATTAGTATTACTTAAATACTATTAGTTGTTATAATATCAAGACGACAATTTGTCAAGTTGATATTTTCTTAAGATCTGTGGTCAATAATACGGGTCACGTAACAATAGAGTATTTTCTAGCCAATGATATTACTGGGAAAATATTCTAGAAGGCAATGACGTCTGTGTATTGATAGAGTAAGTATAAGATCTTTATTAATAGAAATAATTCATGTTACCTGTGTATTGATAGAGTAAGTATAAGATAAAGTACTTACAGTTATCAATAGCACAGTATTTATACTTTTCTATTTGAACTAAATATATGATCTAAGTCTGTAAGGTAAAGTATCATCGATGACGAGTCTGATGTAAGCGATGATATTGTAACTGCCTTCCAAGGATTAGGTTCAAGCGAACTTTCTTTTTCTTTCGGTTGTTTGACGTTTGCGGCTTGAACCTTCTCTTATTTGGGTTGTACTTGGCTGGCAAGTTATACTCCACTTCTATTGGTTGCTTTCTATCTTCTTTCTTCGTTTCCACGACAGATTTTGACGTGTGTCTGATTTGTTTGTTGTTGCTTTTGGGTACTCTATTTGTTGAATAGCTCTTGATCTGTATATGTAACTTGTCTTTCTGAAGGTGTTGGTCTATCAAGGAATGAAGTAGCTGTCGTTTGGTATAACTTTGGTAAGAATCGGGTCAGAACTGGTAGAGTTATGGCGGTTACAAGTTTGAGCCAATCGAAGTGCTTTAGTGATTCGGCCAATCACAAGCATTGTAAGTTTCGCGAGACGTTCTGGGGAAATTCAAGAAAAAGATGCTCTGGGTATGAAATTTGATTGACAGATTGTACTTTCGCTCTTGACAAGTATTCTTTGATTACTTTAATTATTTTTATTATCCCTTCATTTGATTCTTTCTTTATTTTTGCTTGTTTTATTTATTTTCTTTTCTTCTTCTACTTTATTTTATCTTATTCGTTTATTTATTTATGTATTCTATCTTGGTGTTCTTGGTGATTACTATTTCAAATTGTTTATCTTTGGTGTCACGATTGCTCTGTTTTTAATGGCTTATAGTCTATTGTTCTGTTGTCAAACCTGTGTTCCCTCAAGAAAAGTTTATTTGGAAAGGCGATTAACTCAAGAAAGGCCGTACTTTGATATTCTTACGAATTGATAAGTTATCAAGGCTGAATTAGTTGATTGTTCACATTGTGTCACTCTCATAGTCCGTATAGTTAGATGTAGATCTAAATTCTTGTTGAAATCACTATTGTTATTTATATCATTGGTGTTTGTTGAAAGTTAAAAAGGGTACTTGATTACTCAAAATAAAAGAGAGAGTTTTTCTTTCTGATTAATTACAAAAATCTTGTTGCTCATTACTTCCTTCAAATTCTGTCTTTGAAGCTTACTAGTGCCTATACATTATATTTTTAAATTATATTTTTCTAGTGTGTCATTGATAGTTTTTACAGTCTGCTATCTTCCTTTGTTTTAATTTTAATTGTTCTATTTTATATCAAAGGTAAACATACTAGAAGGATATAACTTTGACAAGTGGTCCGGCCACCAGATAAAGATTGTGTTAACATGTTCTCTCCATATCAAAGATATTTGTATTGAGCACTCAATACAAAATATAATAAATAATCTTCATCATATAAATGAATAATCACTTATAGCATATACATTATAAATAAAGTAAGACTGATAATGAATAAATAACGAACTGGATAATAGATATTAAAATAAGAAACCATAATGTACTTAGTAACAAGGAGAATTAAAGGAGAATAATAATCAATTCCAGCAACTGTCAAGTAAGTAATCAAATCAGTAATCATAATATCAAAAATCAGTAGTAAAAAACAACTGAAAAAATATATTTAGAAAATCAATTATTTTGTAATAAAGAAGTATGACATCTCACTGTATTTTTTTTTTTCTTCTTCTATTCTATTTCATTCAACCAAGCATACAATATTCATGCCTGAAGATATTGGTCAAGTGAACAAGCGTGCTGGTGCTGCTGCCCGATTCATCAATGAACCCAGGGATTTTGCTGGAAATGGTGATGATGCAGTGTTTTGGTTGAAGTGTATGGAGCGACTCAAGGGTTCTGCTAAACTTGGGGATGAAGAAATGCTGTTTGTTGCTGGTGATCATCTCGTAGGAAAAGCCGAGACTTGGTTTAATGTCGTTGGGTCAAAAGCTAAAACTTGGAATGATTTTGTGGTTGCTTTCCGTGGTCATTATCTTCAAGATCAGGAAGATAAATGGTGGTATCAGCTCCAAAATATTAAGCAAGGTCCTGATTATCCCTCGGTTGAAGACTTGGCTTTGAAAATGCAAGAACTATTTTCTTTCTTGGATAACAAGTCTGAGAGTCTACAAGTCCGTATGTTCTTGACCGCTATTCACAAGGGCATTGCTTGTGAGATTGAGAAGGAAGGTACTCCAAAGACCTTTGAAGTAGCCAAAGAAAAGGCCAAGTTAGTTGAACGAAGTTTTGCCAAGTACTCAGTTAGTGGTGTTGGTGTACCCATGGTCTCTGAAGTTTCTCTTGGTGGGTCTGGTGCTTCTGGTGGATCTGTTGTTGGTGTGTCTGATGGTGCTTCTGTGTCTAGTATGCTCTCTTTAGTGGATAAATTGGAGAAACTCAGCATTAATTTGGTTAAACTGACCAGTGAAGTTCAGTCTGGTAGAAATAGTGCTGCCCCAATTCGTCGTGGTCTTGTTTGCTTCTTTTGTAACCAAGAAGGACATAGGAAAACGGAGTGTCCCGATTTCTTAGAGAAACAAAAAAATCCTGCTACTGGTAGTAACTCGGTACAACTTGGTTCTCGTGGCGATAGTACTGAGTCGGGAAAAGCCAGGGAGTATCAGTAAAAGAGGCGACTGATACTCCCGTTAACAAGCCTCTGAACTCTGCCACAAATGGTGTTAACTTGGTGGATACTCTCACTGACGCTGAAGTCAAGGAAATTTATGGTGTCAAGCGCACTAGAGATACAAATTCTACTACTGGTGCTGAAGCCAATAAAAGGGTGGTTACTGAAGGGTTGGTGTCTGGAGTTACTGCACCAGTTGTTGGTTCTGGTTTTCCTGTGGTTGGTGGTGGTCCTTCTGTGCCGGTTGTTCGCCCTGTTATTTCAGTGGATAGTGCTGGTACTGGTGTGGTTGAAGAACAAGGTGCAGGTGCCAAGGTGGTGGCTAAGAAGAAACGCAAAAGAAACAAGGTGCGTCGGTTGCCGGTAAAAACTGGTGTGGTCAATGTCTGGGAGATTTTACGTCGTCAAAATTCTGGTCTATCTATGCTTGACTGGATTGCGATTGACAAGGATGCTGCTAGGGATTTGGTAGATGGGTTGAGAGACCTTAGGTTACAACGACCTAAACGAACTCGACGCCATCTATTGTCACAACCAGGTGTTCGTGGTGTTGTTTCAGGTGTTGGTCTTGCTGTTGGTCCTGTTGTTGGTTCAAGTGTTGGTCCTACTACCGGTGTGTCTAGAATAGGTGTCAATGTGGTTGATCAAGCAGATACTGAGTCTGATGGTTATGATACTGATGTTTCTTCAGGAGAATATGATTCTGAAAGCGTGGATCTTGGTTCAGTATATTCAGAGAATGAATCTGATGATTTGGAATTGAGTGAAGTAGAATCAGTTTATAGATATCCTTATAATTTGAATAGGATGAAAATTAGTTCTCCTCTTAGAGGTGTTATCAGTATTAATGGGCAAGCAGTTGAAGCTATTTTTGATACCGGTGCAAGCGTATCAGTTATTTCCAAGACTTTAGTAGACTCGTTGGGTTTGACTCCAAATGGTGATAGTCTTCACTTGATTGGTTTTAACAACAAGAAGTCAAGTACTAAAAGTGAAGTGGTCATGGATGTGCCTATTTGTGTTGCCGGTAAATTGCGTCCTGATCATATGTGTGTCTCGGATAACGGACAAGATGACAAGTTGTGTCTCTTGGGTGTACCATGGATTCAGGCTTATGGTGTAGAGATTAATTTGTCGGATTCGTCTATTAGAGTTCCTTCTACTAGTGGTTCTGTTCGTCTTCAGTGTTATACGACACACCTACCTGCTGTTTCGGAAGTGGATAAAAAGGTCTATCATGTGGCTATTTCCCAAAAATACACTGAGTCTTTGGATGAAGGTCTGGCTGGTGAGGGTGATCTACCTTTGGAGAAGCCTAAGGATTTTACGGCAGCAAATATTACTGAAGGTCTACCTAAATTGTTAGTGCCGGTTGTGGACAAATACA